GAGAGAGAGAGAGAGAGAGAGAGAGAGAGAGAGAGAGAGAGAGAGAGAGATATATATATATATATATATATATATATATTATATAGCCAAATACTGGTGCTTTCTTTGCCCGTCTTCATCTTAGACTAAACATACTTTCCACACACTTGTATTGTCATGTGAGTCCACCGGTGTCATGTCACCTCTTTACTCTCCACTGAACTCTAAAAAACATTTAAAAAAAAAAAAATAACAGATGGGCTATTTGGTCAGTCACTGTAATTACAATAGCTAAAAGTTAACAAAAGCAAATTTGCCTATCCATAACTAAAACAAGTGTTTAGAGAATGAAAACACTGCACACCGACTTCTGAAGGAAACTAAGCTGGTTTTCACTTTAACTTCCAAATGTCCTTGGTCCAATATAAAATTCAGTAGGTTGCTCTTACAAAATCATTTACCACAGTCCTGTGAAAAAAATATTCTTATTACACTATTTTATATGATTCAGAGTGGCAAGATGGAAGAAAGGGCTCAAAGACAGCATACAAGACAACAGAAGGAATAAAAGGAAAAGTACAGTACGAACATTCATGAAATGAAGAGGAGGAGGAGAAGAAGAAGAAGGCACAGATTTTAAGAGTTGAGACTAGAAGTCGTAGAGGTAGCGGACGTCACAGACGGGGACAAAGGAGAAAAAGAAACTGTTAAAAGAAAGGAGGGGGGGGGGGGATGAAATGTCTATCTGTCCTTGGATCCAAGCTTCTCGATCAAGTCCTGCAGGGGAGCAAGCTCTCGCCTGTCGATGAGACTGAACTCCTACAAGAGAAACAGTTGATATGATCTCTGCTGCTCACACAATGTGATAAGAGTTGTGGTGCTGTATAACACAAATAGAGGTTGTCGTAGCATTGGCACATTTAGGGGTCCAATGCAATGCTTTAACCCTGTATGTACTTACAATATGTAGTGTAACTGGGCACTTTTTGGGATAACATCCTTTATCACACCACACATGCATAAATCCTCCTGCTATGCCAACTTTTTATAAACCCCTTTTAGACATAATCTGGGAAACTGCTGAGTTTGTTCAAGTCGTGACTTTTCACACAAAGTTGTTGTTATAAATGTATATAAATGTTACTAGTTCCATCCTTTCATGGGTTATATTGAGTACATATTGATGACAGTGCATGTAAAAATGGGGCATTAGACACACAGCAGGGATTACATCCTACATTGTAACGGGGTAATCTCACCTGAACAAAGAAAATGAAATGCTTGAAGGAGGTGTTGAGGTGGGCCTCCTCCTGCAGCTGCATCACAGAGTCAAAATGTTGGTGGTAAATGTGAGCGTAAACCCTGAACAGCCGCTTCAGGATGGTTTTGGCCACAGACATGAAGTTCTTGGGAAAGGGAACTCCTGCAGGACAGAAGGTGGTGGAATATGCTGATGTCAAAGGAAGAACATTGAAAAGGAGAGCATCCACACAAAGCTACATCAAAATGTTACACGGCCTGCAGAGGGGAGATACAGCGCCGTTAAGACGCATTTAACACCATCCTTAAATGTCAGGGAACCAAATGAAACTCGACAAATTGACAAACGAAAAAAAAAAAAAAAAAAAGTCTTAAAACTTGTAATAGGCCCGTCAGGCTAACAAATTTTGGTGGATTAAATATAATAACCCAGAAATAATTGCGATAAAAAGACATTATTTAGATTTTAAGAAAATTAATACAATGATAGTACAATACTATAATAGTACACTCTTTAAAAGAGCAGTGCACTTTTAATTCTTAAAGATATTTAGATTTTGGAATTGGAAAAAAAAGATCAAATCATCCTTAATATATAATATATAAATAAATTAAAACAATACTATCGAAGGAATAAATAAAATGGCCTCTCTGGCTCTGTTAACAGAAATGTTTGCACAATGCCCAAGTCTTATAACTTTAGGGAGAACCCTGTTTATTCTAGCATCATGTTGCTAACATTTTCATGACATCCATATGTAAACAAACATATTTAAACACAACTAGCAATATCTAGGTCAGCAAAATGATTGAGGTCGTATCCATATATTGTATAATACGTTAAAATAGTATTTTGTAGCTAACCTCTGAAGTCTACAACACAAAGACTTCTTCACTTCATGTTGTTTTTTACGTGTGTGTGTGTGTGTGTAGGGGGGAGGGGGGGCTCTGCCTCTGATGCTACATCCATACTACTCTGTTTCTACTCCGTATCAGTGTGCTCTTCAGCACGTGAGGCACATGATCAGCTGGACTGAAGTCAGGTGACGGGCTCGGACAGTCAAGAACACACATTAACTGCTTTTACCTTTGGCTGCCTTGTCTGTATGTTTAGGATCATTGTGCTGCTGCATTGAACTACTGTATGTATAAAAAGGGCTACGAGTCACTGTTCAGGATGTGAACCCCTTCAGATATATGAAATCAGCTCAATAACCACATAATTATTGTTTTATTCCAAATCCAATCTGCCAAAGAAAAGAAAAAAAATCACTGTCCCTACAACCTCGGACTGTATAGTAGGAGCACCGGCCAGAACTTGTAGCAATAGGTTTGCTGTCATTGAGAAAAAGTTTTAGCCTACAGTTTGTTTACAAACTGCTGAAAATGAGAATTACTTATAATCAGAACTCACCAATCTTGGAGGGGAAAAGGGTCTCATCATCCAGCTGATCCTGCACCCAGGTCATCAGGTAGTCAATGTACTTGGGCGCGGAGCATTTGATGGGCTTCTTAATGTTGGTGCCATCAGCCCAGTGATACTCGTATCTACAGAGAAACAACACAATCGATTGGGACCTGTTATCATTTACTTACATACGAGACATGAAAGCTCTACAATCGTTCTGCCTGTAGGCCAGGACGTCACATACAGTATTTGGTAGAAGCTAAGCTAAAAAAAGAAGCAGAAGGCGGAAATGCAAAAGTATCTACAATCCTATTCTTGATGGCAGCTACGTCAACAGGAAGTGAACGGCAGTCTCTTCCTCCTGATTACAGACTTAACACAGACAGTATTGGCCAGCAAGAGAATAGAGGAAGTGCCAAATCTAAATTTGAACTCAACAGCCCTACAGGCACCACATGCAAAGTATAATTCCTGTTTTCCTCATGTGACATTCAGATGATGCATTTCAATTTCATTCACTTCCAACTGTCATGGCCATTCAACGTCTTGAATCCATAGTTGGGTTCTTTTATACGATCAGATTAAGCTCAGTTCACAAGGCTTAATTTCAGTTGTACACGTTGGTTCGGTCTAAGACGCATTGTGACTTTTTTTCACCACTTGGTAGCATATTACATCTTCATTCACTCGTAATTATAAACAGGCTGTTAAACTTACTTAAACTCTAGTTCATAAATGTCTGTAATCATAAATTAAGTTTTAACCAGGCATACATCCCAGCTCAAGTTCCTGAGGTACAAACAATGTTTATCAAATCTGGAACACTGAAACAGGTAAACACAGCAGCAACACTCTCTACTCGTGGTTAAATGCTGGTTCTCTTCTGCTGTAAAGTAATGCTTAGCTGCCTGTAGCAATGTGCTGTTCATAACAATTGTTTTATCAAATCACATTACTGTAGGTGTATTATGAAGCCCTGTATCACGGTGCTGTAGAGCCACCGATCTGTCATTATTGATTTGCATTATCTTTCATGTTTTGTAATGTTCCTCAAAGATTACACATCCTGTTTCACAGCCAACTCATGTGAAGTTAACATCGGCCTAAATGTTTTCCTTGTTTCAACGAAACTTGACAAATCACATTTAGCCTACTCTGAGCTGTTTACTTCATCGCAGTGGGGCAAGTTTTAGCAAAGATTATAAGTTACGTGTTAAATTACATGCATATGTTTGGGGTCACTGTCTTTCATTTGACCTTCTGCCTTGATCTTTTGATAAAACATAAGTCTGCTTTGTCTTCATTCTGTGTTTTCTGCCTGAAAACTGACAAAGCAGTAGTTGGACCTTTTACGGCTACAAGAGTATTTAAGCTAAATTAAAATTGTCAGGACCTGGTTACACATGAAGAACAACATTTTACGCGCATGGTTCTGCTCCATTTTGCCCAAAACATCACTGAGATAACTCAGTGGGAGTTGACGAGGGGTCCTGGAACGCCTTCCCTTACACCCCACCTGCTCTATTCAAGTGTCTCAATAAGCCATGACAGTGAGCCAGCATGTACAATACCAGGATCCATAAAACATCAGTCACTGTTAATATTATTCCTTACACCTGTGCTTTTACTACTGGGACGTGTCAAGATGTCCCCCTATGAGAAACCCTGTACTCAAAGAGAAGCTGCGTGCATTGAAAGGAGACTGTTGCCCGTTACCTTGGTCCAGCAGACATCACAGAGCAGCTGGTCTCAGTGCAGAACTCGGTGATGGTGCCGTATAGCATGTTGATCTGGTTGAAGAAATCCACCGCTGGAAGACAGGGTTAGTTATATTTCTGTTATATAACCATTAATGATCACACTCATTACAATAATAAACTAAATAGTCTCACTTTTCCAATAGTTCAGAGGTTTTATCTGGTACTTTTTATGAGCTGAATTTTTAGAATAGATTAGCTACAGCCAGTTGTTTTTGTCTCAATGGCCTCCTGTAGAATGAATGATGGGAATACAACAACAAAAATATGACCACATGTATGCATGTGTTTTTGCTGCATTTTTAACAAATGTTTCAAATAATTCTGGTGCTACTACCACTGCTTGCTTTGTGAGCAATCTAACTCTAGTGACTAATATTTTACCGATACATTTGTGTGTTTGTTTGACCGCGCTTCTCTTCTTTTACCACTTGGGGGATGATCAACCTCTCTACAAAGGCCATTCATGTTTAGAAATGGTAGTTTGTGGACGGAGTGATGTTCTCTATAAATAGGTTAATTGCATTCATGTCAACTCACTGTTGACAGCAATCCACTCGTTGAGATCCTCTCCCTCGGGCAGCATGACAGCCTGCCTCAAGTTCCCACTGCCCAGTGTCGCCTCAGCGTGTTTCAGCAGCTCATACTGGTGGGAGCCCTCTGGGATGTTCTTCTTCGGCTTGAAGGTCTTGGATGAGCGACTGCCACTGCAAAGAAACAAAACGTGCAGCTGAGCAACTTGCCTGTAAGCTAGCAGGACAGTGACATTATTAAAAAGGCTCGTGTGGGAGTAGATGCTCCTCTTGGGCCTCCACATGTGGGGATCCTTCCTGTCTAGTTGATGCAAACAACATCTATTAAACGAAGACGTATGCCAACTTGTTTGGCTCGTTTTTTAGTGTGACAGATGTATGACTGTACAATCCGTGTCATGTAAGGCGACGACAGGAAACGTGACAGACTGTAAACAACCGGACATTTGATCACGTTGATCGATGTTTAGCAATCTATCCCAACGAGGTCAAGACAGCAACGGTGTGAATGAGGACTAATGTCAACATGGCTCGTCTTAGTTATAGAATTATTACAATTAATGGTAAAATGACCCTATCAGCTAAGTAGGCTAACCAACCGTCAGCTAGTAACCATCATGCTAGCCTAGTTAGAACGTAACTAGTGTTACTTTAAAACAAATGAACGTTATAATTGGCGAATGCATTGTGACCCTATGAATACAAACAGCTCACTTACAATGTTACGACAATGATGAGCCTACACACAAAGACGTTGTACGTGTAACCTTAACTAATGAGGCTTCCTAAGCGATTAACGGACTTGTTATCTGTAACGGTGTCTTTTACTTTGACGACAGTTTACTTCCCTCGATGTTAACTTCGCAGGAGCGTTAGCTTAACCGCAAGCTGCGTCTGTAACTTAGCAAGAGACTGCTAACGCTGACTTTACTTACAACAGGAAGCTCATCTTGAAGAAGCAGTCGTCGGAGAGCCTCGGTTACAACTCGTAGCTCTGGTTTTAATAAACACAACTTTGTTTTGTCGGTCGGACACAAGGAGCCACTTGTCGGCGATGCCTGCTAACAGTAACGTTGACGTTCTCTCGGCTAACATGAACTGCACCCAAACTGGCTCTTCCTCTATCGGTTCTCTGCGACAGTCCGACAGGCAGACTGTCGCCTCCTGTCGGCTGCACGACGCTACTACATCTCTACATCGATTTACAATACAATGAAGCCAGTAAACTAAAGGAATTACTTTATGTCTACTAATACGTTTACTTAAATCAGTATTTAGGAATTAGCTTAGTGGTAGCCTATAGCTAATCTAATATAGGGACATTCAGACACAGAAGCGCACATTTTTCACACTGAAACCACTTTTATCTGGGGCCCAACTTTTGTAAACCAATATTGTTTTTTATTAAAAGGTATTAATTATGTATTTATTCATGAAAAAAAATCAAGAATGTTTTTTAGGTAAGTGCACCTGAGCCAAAATGTCTATTCATAGACTGTAAGCAACTCCATAGACAGACAGATTAGTTAGTTAATGGTGGATTGGTTGGATTGACATTTGGGAAAAGTGTGTTGGGCCTCAGACAACCAGGGGCTCCAAAAGAACCAGGTTCAATGTGCCAATTAGTTTTTGCTAATTTGATAACTAATATTTGTTGTGGAATTTGCACATACAGAGTACATCAATTAATGTAACTTCTGCACCTACTTTTAAAGAATATATTGTCCTCACACAGCATAGATTCCTAAATAAAGTCTTGTATAATCAAATTACCAGAAACTAGCTGACAAATATTGAACCAGGGGTTATGTATAGTCTGCTGTGTGCACTGTACATGATTGACAGGATGCATACACAATAAGGGCTGGAGGCCCAACAGCAATTGTTGTCCTGGGGGCCCTCAAACAAGTTAACCCGTCCATGGTGGAAAGTAACAGGAACACATAATGTACTCAATTGCTCAGTTGAAGTACAGTTCTGAGGTAGATGTACTTTACTTGTTGAGTATTTTATTTATACCATCATGTCACACTTCAACTCCACTGCGCCTCACAGGGAAATATTGTTCTTTTTACTACCATATTCATTTGACAGATTGTTGCTACTTACTTTGTAAATATGTGTTGTTTTTTAAAAACCTATGGAGAGTATAATTAATCCAAAGTATTGTAAAGTACAATAAACTTCTCAACAGTAGCTTATATATAAAGTAGCTAGAATTATCTCCACCTCAACCAATAAATGCTGTTTCTACGTTAATAATCCAATAACATATAACAATACAAATGTCTTTAAACTTTCAAGTATTAAAGAATGAGTACTTAAATATGGAGCTCTTCTACTTTTGATGCTTCAAGTATATTTTGCTGACAATATTTCAGTATGTTCACTTTAATTTTAAATACAATACCTAATGGAGTATTTTTGTATGCATTATTACTACTTTTTCTAAAGTAAATGTGTATGTGAATAATTCTTAGTAAAGTACTTACATACATGCAGCTGAAGCCCCCCTAAAATGTTTTTCAGCCCCCCCCCAAATAATTTGGGATTATTGGCTTTAAAAAAAAAAAAAAAAAATCTTTTTTTTTTAATTTTTATTTTGGTGATGTCAATAAATGAAACTATTTTTTCTCACAATGAGTGTGTTCTGGTTTGTATGTTTCCTCCCCCTTCTAATTACAATCCAATAGCCTATCATCATACTTAACGATATAAATCCCGGGCACTAGGACCTTGGGGAGGCTGCTGTGCTGGCTTTCTCACTCTGCCAAGTAACGTCTCTCGTCAACGACAGCCAGGATTATAGCCAAGGAGTTTAGCTCAAAGTAAATGATGCACGGAGTGAAATTGTAAGTACAGGTAGATCAAAATCTTATTCCCTTCTGCTCATAATAAAACAAGTAAACAACTCAAAAGTTGACACTGTCAGGTCCATTCTCCATCCATTGTGTGCGGCCCCTTTAAGAATTAGGATTTGGGAGTGACGCGGATATGAAAGCTAGTTTATCCGTCTTTCCTTTACAAGCAGGAAAATTATTTCTCTCTCTTTATTTGAGAAAAGTTCATATTTGTGTTGTCAAATTTCACTATGACCCTGAAATTCTGTCTCTTGTGTTATCATATACTGAATGCAAGCAAAACTACAGAGCAAAATCACACTCTTTCTGATTGAACCAATCTATGAACTGTCTGAAACAATAGCTATCCGCGGCCTCAAATGGGCCCCAAAAACAATTGCGCAAACATGCCACATGCCACACTACCTGCGCAGACATGCCACTCACCTTGGGGCTAAGCCCCCCCCTTTCTTTGAATCCTAGAAACGCCCCTGCACTCAAGTGAGTACAATTCTGAGTTACTTGTACTTCACTTGACTATTTCAATTCAATCTACCGAATGCTTCCACTACACTGCAAATGCATTTCAGTTTGAAATATTACACTTTTTGACTCCAGTACACCTCTCTGCTGCTGTGTCGCGGTTCGTGATACTGGAAACGTACAGTGTTATCGATGCATAAGAGGTGTGGCATCAGATAACAGTGACGCATGCACCATCCCTTGTAGGGGGAAGGGCTATAAAGGCCCTGCTGCCCCACATCTTCCTCCTCCACAGACGTCGCTCTGTCAGCCCGGGTGGTGGTGTGTTACGTAAGCGGCCGCGGTGTCTCTTCCTCCTCTCAGCCGGTCAGAATGGCAACGATCAGGGCTCTCAGGAAACTGTGCCAACACTCCCAGCATCAAGTCTGTAAACTGCACACGACCGCCTCGAGGTGAGTGAGTCCACCAGCTCTGAAATCTGCTTTTTATTTGGGTAAATTCAGTCCTACTTTAACGGCATGTTCGGCGCCTTCCTCTCCAACATGAGACGATATGTTTATTAATATATATATATATATATATATATGTATGTATTTTATTTCTGAATGCGTCGGTCTCCTGTGATGTTGTGTTCGAGCGGATGGGATACCTTGCGTTTTGTTATGCAGGGTCTGCTTGATTTTATTGTACTAAATGTCCGCAGCTGGTCACATTGTGGTGCGCCCCTAGCGGTATGCCGGTAACATTGCAGCGGTCAGCTGGCTGATGAAATCGGTCTCAGGGCTTGCACCCGGAGCTTCAGGACCCAGGTTTCAGCTGGAGACCGAGGTGTTGGGCTACACACAAGGAAAACACATCCACATTCGTGCTGGTTGTGGATGACATGCGATCATTAGAAAAAGCATAAATAATGCACACTTTGGACATGTTCTAACACGGTTGCCAGATTTGCAGTTCAGCATGACTCAGATAAATGTAATGATATAATGTCGCACACACACGCCTTAAAAACCCAAACCCCGTGTGGCCCTTGCACATGACTTGCAGCTCCAAAGGCACAAGGTGTATATAATTTAAAACCTATGACAAGTCATGCATGAGTTATTACCATGTATCACAACAAAGATACAACTTTAAAGCATTGACTCACTTTCATTACACATAAACGCAACAGACTCTGCATTGAAATACACACAGCAACAGGTAACATGTACAGAATAATACTAAAAAGATAAAATAACAACATATGCACAAAACCCCAACTCTTCTCTGAGGTTGGCTTCAATCAACATTGGCTGTGTGGCCATACATGTGAATAGAGGCATTTCCTCGTCAGTAAACCGTCTTTGTGTTTAAATTGGGGTGAGGCTAGGGAGCGGCATTTCGACATATTTGCTCTGGAACCTGGTACACTCATTGGCACCATGGCCTCACCCATTTTGCCCAAGGATGCCAGAGGTGTCATTCGTTTTGGCAGAATAAAGGAGGGGTTGCGTAACTGTTGATGGCTCATTACTCTGTTGTTATTAGCTACTGCTTTCTTGTTGTTATGCAACCAAAGCAGCCAGACTGGTCAACCCAGTTTGTATAAATCTGATTGGATAAAAGCTCTACTTAAAACAAGCTGCACTGGAAGCAGAGCAACAGAGGAAGACCGTAGCTGTGCAATGAGAAAATAAGATAATGGGAAAAATATTTTTATAAATTATAATACATGTAGTGTATTTAAGAAAAATTATAAAATAGATATAACTTTGATTCTGTTTAGGCCAGCAGAGAAGGCTTTGCAGGCCCTGACGGCCCGCCACTGCTTGCAGTAAACCACCATTGACTTCTCTTGCTGGGATCTAACATATGGTAGTGTAACTCTACAGTACAAGTGCTGGCGAAGCATACGACTCTGTCAGGTCAAGTCGTGCTGTGTCTAACTTTAGAGGCTAGAATGTGTTCTTACCCCGGCTGGGTCGTTGAGATTGATTACAGTCTCTGATGGAAACCAAGGCAGTCAAGTTTGTTTGGATAGAGTAAAACTGATTCAGATATTCAAGTTGAAAGAATGTTAAATGATTAGCGTTTGTTGTTTGAGTAGTTTAATTACCTCTACAGAACTACGTGTTCTGTGGCTTGTGATCATATTTAGTCAATAAAACCTTTGGCTCTGTACACTGGGCTCAGTACAGTGTACTAAACAAGTAAATAAATTGAACCCTTATTTCTATGCCTGACTAACGACAGAGACACAACTTGTCCTCTGACTCCAGTCTTTTTTTTTTTTTTTTCTTCTGCCCAACTCTCAGACAGGAGGCGGTGGTCATCTCAGGAAGGAAACTAGCACGACAGATTCGAGAGGAGACCCGGGCCGACGTGGATAAATGGGTTTCAGCCGGCCACAGGAGACCCCATCTGAGTGTGATTCTGGTGGGAGAAAACCCAGGCAGTCACTCCTACGTCCTGAATAAGACACGAGCTGCAGCTGATGTCGGTAAGAATAAAACCCGTGTGTGTGTGTGTGTGTGTGTGTGTGTGTGTGTGTGTGTGTGTGTAAACTCCACTTTTCTATAATATAATAACAAAAGAACAAATGGCTGTGTTTTGAGTTGCTTTCTCACTTCAACCTCCCACAGGAATCTCTAGTGAGACGATTCTCAAGCATTCAGACATCAGTGAGGAGGAGTTATTGGACCTGATCTACAAAATCAACACAGACCATCGTGTGGACGGCCTGCTGGTCCAGCTGCCTCTGCCAGGTACAGAGAAAGTGGAACACTAGGGCAGAGAGATGAACAATGAGTATTGTGAATCGTGCATCTGTAGAGTTATGTATTGTTGTTATCGGGCAAGACAGACATCGCATTGACTGAAACTGTCCGTGTATGCAAGTATCAGTCAATATGTGTTGGCAGCATGTGTTACAGCACTAAACTGTTAAGATTTTCTTTATCGTTAAAGGTAAAACACTTTGCAATTGTGAACTTTTACAAACTCATGTGTGTTCTTGAACTAAACCCCAGAGATCTAGTTGTCCTGAATGTAGCTCGTCTTTGTTTTCTGACAGATCACATTGATGAGCGTGCAATCTGCAATGCAGTTTCCCCAACCAAGGATGTGGACGGCTTCCACGTCCTAAATGTGGGTCGCATGTGCCTGGATCAGTCCACCATGCTCCCTGCCACTCCCTGGGGAGTCTGGGAAATTATTACTCGCACAGGTAACAACAGGAGTGATCGCTTACTTTGTCCTCCGGTAGGGCTGAGCGGTTGGCCGGTATACTGGTTTTAATTTCCCGTATGATATGCGTCATACTGGTGCACAGCCGAAACAACTTCTGTCACTCTTCAACAGGCAGCAAAATATATTGCCGAGCGTGTTGCGGTCGGAGCTAGTTGTCTTAAGTGTATTGAGAGGGAACCCTAGTCATGGTTATAACAACAATTAACAACCCACAACTAACGCTCTTTAACAGGGCAAAACACTACAACACAACAGTTTGTAACACTAATAATTGTACATTTATAAAATTTCACCGCCGAACTGCATGCTGGGTACAGCTCGCTAACAACGCTGATTATCGTAATATGTGTGGTATTTGTTATAAATGTACGTTGGTACATAGAGGGTGATAAGAAGCTGTACTTGGAGGGGCTTAGGACCCAGGAGAATGTAGGTGAAGGAAACAGGAAGTGACGGAACGGAAAACACGCCACACAAACAGCTGTTCACCGCTCGCTGGCCGGTTGGCTGGCCGGTTCTTTTCGGCGTTAATTAATTAATGCGTTAATACGTGATATACCGTGAAACCGCTAGAATCTTACAAAATACCGTGATATGCATTTTTGGTCATACCGCCCAGCCCTATCCCCAGGTTGAAATGCTGCTGGACGAACTATCTAAACTAACTATTTGGATTCTCGTCCTCCAGGTATTCCTACTATTGGGAAGAATGTTGTAGTTGCAGGACGCTCCAAGAATGTGGGCATGCCCATCGCCATGTTACTGCATACGGACGGCCGTCATGAGAGGCCCGGAGGTTGGTTACTGTTCATATTTGTTTATCCGTGCATTTAAAGATGAATTGTTCAAATACACGGTACCAATCTTAAATGTTCTTGTTGCAGGCGATGCCACGGTCACTATTTCTCACCGTTACACTCCAAAGGATCAACTTCGCCAACACACTAAAATCGCTGATATCGTTGTGGCAGCTGCAGGTTTGTGTCCCTGTTCTGAAAATGTTTAAATAGTTTAAAGCTCATTTTTCTGAAGTACATTTGAATTTTTTTCGTCTAACTGTAACGTGCGTGTTTGATGATCTATCAGGGATTCCAAACCTCATTACCGCGGACATGATCAAAGAGGGAGCAGCGGTGATCGACGTTGGAATAAACAGAGTGCAGGACCCGGTCACCGGAAAAAGCCGACTGGTTGGAGATGTGGATTTTGAAGGTGAGACTGGACAGCGAACGTGATCCTATTTCTTGCATGGACATGCTTAGCGTCTCAGGTGTCTGTAACTACATGTCTTTTCTGTCTATATTCAGGCGTGAGACAGAAGGCGGGCTTCATCACCCCTGTGCCCGGAGGTGTGGGACCCATGACCGTGGCAATGCTAATGAAGAACACTATCAAAGCGGCTAAGAACGTTCTGTTATATCCCCAAGAGAGGATCCGCATGGCGGCTGCGTCCTAATGGGCTGAAGAAAATCCAAGCCACTGCGACACATTCCACCCCCTCATTTGTTACTTGGAGCAACCTGACGAGCTCCCCTTGCACATGGACTGGAAAGATGATAGCTTCAAGGCTCTCTTCCTGCTGACATCTGTCCTAACTTCAAGTCCAGCCATGTTCCGACTGTTACATTCACTCATGCAGCTGCAACTTTTATGTTTCAGTATTCATGATGCAATGTTTTGCTTTGGACTTTTAAGGAATCAAGAACCATTTTATTTATTGCCACGTTGACATACTATTTAAGCATGGATGGATGCAGCATTTTAAACGGAGCCTTTCAGGCCTGTCTGTTGTGCTTCTTTCCGTTAGTTTAGCCTTAAGTACCAAGAGTGACGAGGGCTAACACCATCAGGAACACGTATGTTTGTCAATAAATGAGCTTTAAAGATTCACAATTGCCTTTGTAAAAATTTTGAAATAAATATTGGAAATATGTTCTCGCATTGATGCTTTCTGTGTGTACCAATTGCCTCTTCACTTACACTAGAAAACAGTGATTTTGTGCTCTTACTCTCTTTACAGTATTGGATTTAAATGTATGCCCTCATTCCAAATGTAACTCACTTCTCGGGCACTATCATTGAAAGGACTTGTGTCTTAGTACCAGTATTGAATAACCACACTACTTTTGATCCAACTTTCCATATTTGGTATCATTACATCACAGATACATGAGTATCTGTGAGTATCTACTAGATTAGATCACCTTTGATACCAGATGTTTTATTCTACACTAAAGCCCTCTCTTATTAAATCATATACTGATTTATAAACTGAATCTGGTTATCTGTAAAAAAAAATTCCCACAATTATATCCCTCCATTCCTTTAACGCACTGACCCATTTTGAAGTGACATGGAAGCAAAGAGACTGGGACAGAAATAGTCTGATTAGTGTGTGAGAAAAATATCTGATACACTGAACTATTTTCTCACTTTCTTTCATCGGTTATAAGACGTGATGGCTTTTTTTTTTTTTTAGGTCACCTCAATGTTAACCTCGTTAAACCTGATAAATAGTTGAGCTGACCCCTTACTCTATTTTTTTCCTTTTAATTCTCGTTTCTATTTCAGTGCTGTGGGAGGTATCGCAGGCATATAGGGAGGACCCACTTGGTGTGGTTTGAGGGGTTCATTGAGTTTCGAAGTTGTTTTTTTATCTATGCATGTGGGATTTACGATGAACCTGTCTAATCTGCTCCACTTGGATTTTTGTCATTGCATAGATTAAGATATTAAAAGCAGAAGGAAGACTCAGCAGTAGACATATTTGATACTTATTTTGCCTACCAAACAGCCAAATGGGCTGGTACGGGAATGTTGCTCTTCCTTTCATATACTGGACAAAACTCATTTCCATGCAAGCTAAATTCAAAGTATTTTTTTTTTAACTGACAAGAATCTGATTTATGTAAGAACTTGTTTCTATCTTGGGAGTCCTTATTACTGCATTAACTTCACTTGTATAAAATGTACTAAATAATAACATAGCACTCAGAAAGGGACCATTCTGCATAATGATTACATTAACTTTTCAAACTTTGACTACACTGACAGCACTTTTGTTTTACTTTCTATTTCAAATGTTAACTGTAAGTACATATACACAGTTGTAGTATAGTTGTAGTGTAGGTCCTGAGTGGTTACCATAACTGAGCATATTTAAACTATGTTCATGTGTTGGGTAAACTGACGTAGGAACCAGGAACCGTAAAATTTTATTTCCAGACGCTGACGGAAGACATTTGTAGACGCACACACTTCCGCAAACTAGAGCCGCTTTCTACTGAACCAGGCTGCCCGTGTGGGTTGATGTTGGGTTAGTTGTCTCGGTGATGGATCGCAGCAGATCACCCGACAGAGCTGGCAGAGAGAAGAAACACGAGAAGAAGAAGAAACGAAGACGATCCTCCTCTTCTTCGTCTTCATCATCGTCGTCTTCTTCATCCAGCAGCAGGAGTCGAAGCCGATCGTCAAAGAAAACATCACTCAAAAGTCAAGGTTGGGACTTTTAAAAACAAAGTAGGAAGCGTTGACGTCAACAAAGGTGGTATTATCATATAACTCTGTTAAACGACGTCCTCTGTTTCCCTCAGATGTGAAGACACAAAAGAAGAAGCGAAGAAGAAGCTCCTCTTCTTCGTCGTCCACCTCTTCTTCCTCCTCATCTTCTTCGTCGTCGAGTGACGAAAAGACAAAGAAGAAGAAGAAAAGTAAAGCCAAGAAAAAGAAGTCGAAGAAGAAAAAGGAAAAGGCGAAGCTGAAGAAACAGAAGAAAAAGGAGAAAAGGGAGAAGAAGAAGCTGAAGGAGGAGAAGAAGGAGAAGAAGAAGAAAGCAGAGGTGGTGTTGCTGCCTCCAGTAGAGAAGCCTCCATCTTACCTGGAGGTGTGGCAGAGTGATGAGGGGGCAGTGGAGCTCGGACCTGGTGGGACATTACTTCACTGAGCTTTTTGTATATTATCACATCTGGTTGTTGAAATAATGTAGAAGGATCAGAACTGCAAATTGTTGCAGATTTATCCTCAGGTTTTAAGACATAGTGATGGTTTTCTTTCACTTTTTAATTAATTTATAATCTAAATGATCAATGGCAACATCTAAGATGACTGACAAATGAATATTGTCTCACAGTAGTTATATTATCGTCACATGTAGTGTGTTATATTCGGTTTCCTCTGCAGTGATGACAGACGAGCAGAAGGCCCGACTCGCCACTAAGAGGCCCATCACCAAAGAGGAGTACGAGGCCAGGCAGAGTGTGATCCGCAGGGTGGTGGACCCAGAAACAGGACGCACCAGGTAAGCCAGCGAACAAATGTGAACAAATGTTCTTGTAATAAATTCTACAGCTCAGGGTTGCTTTTTTCTTTCTTCCAGATTGGTGAGAGGAGAAGGAGAGATCATAGAGGAGATGGTCAGCCGAGAAAAACACAAAGACATCAGCAAGGTACAAGAGACAGAGGTTCAATTCTAATTTTGTGACATAAACAAAGACTTCCCTTTTATATCTAACGGTGAACGTGCATTCATCCCATAGCAATCCACCAAGGGAGACGGGAAAGAATTCCAGAGGAAAGTGAACCGGTAGAAGATGACGTGATCTACTTCAGGAGCGGAGCCTCAACAAGCTGAACATTGAAGCGTCACCTCAAACGGCTGCGTGTGATTTCACTGAACAGTATAAAGGGACATGCACTCGTGATGTTTTTAATGCAGATAAAAGACAATATCTCGTACTGATTTGCCTTATTAAATCTATGCTGGAGTTAGTGAGCGACTTCCGTTTTGTGTCGACTGAACTCTGCACAAGGAAGATGGTTTTAATATTCAATGATGAATGTGTTTTGTCCATGTTTTCAGTGAGGTTGTCTGTCTTCTGTACCTGCTACTCAGATGATGTGACTGAAAACAGACCGACAGTCAAATGTTTTTTCATTTTAAATAAACTGATTCCTGTTGTACAATACGAAGCTGGTTTAAGCGTGGACTCTCTTTTGGCTACGTACTCTACGCCCACTCGTAGATGTCTACTCACCTTCACATCTCAGTTTTTTTTCTTTGGTTCTCTGAACAAATTTGCATTTGAGTGAACTGATTCCTGAAAAATAAACAGTTTGTGTCAACTGCAGTGACTGATCCTATATTTGAATAATCCGTGCTCTCTGAAGAGACATGCTATGGAGCTTATTCTTCATGACTTTGACTGTGAAAAAAGGCCGAAATGACTTGGTAGTTTATGTTCTTTATACACTGTACATAAAAGCACAAGGGAATGAATAAAATGAAGTTATCCAAAACCTACAAGATACACACCCTGTACAAGGAAAGTATTTACCAGGGTATGTTGCATATATATACACACAGCCTATGAACGCTAACTGTTGATGTAACAGTGGTGGCGTTGCATTAACCCGGGGACAGAGCTTGAGACAGCGACGGATTGCCTAATGTCGGTGAAATATTTCAAATAGATTTCTGCTTTGTACATTTCCTTTCAAGTGAAAACAAGACAAAGCCTTTGAAGCAAATATGGCCCCTTTTTCTATTTCCACAAAGTCAACGGTCTGTCCTTTTCCATGAAGTGAATTCAGGAGTGAGCAGCGTTCGTTCTAGGCCTCGCAACACGACGGTGATGTAAGGCAGAAAAAGGAAATGTAAGGCCTCTGGAAATGTGTGTGTCAGCAGCAGAATCATAGCGACTGTCTGCCCAGAGAATCCAAACCTCACAGATGACCGCACCGCTTCTTCTTTACATTGTTTGGGGGATTTTAATATCCAGGCAATCTGGGGGGGAAGGACATATGGTTCAGTAGTTGCCAACTTTAGATGAGTGCGTGTTTTACAGCATTGCATTTCCTTTTTTTTCTAATTACTATTGATTTCCAAACAGCCGTTCTTTAATCAGCAGCCTCCGAAAGAGTTTTATTTATATGGCTTCAAGCCAGATCTCTGAAATGGTCAAAAAGCAGAGGGACTGTACTACAGTTAGTAATGGCGCCTTTCTTCACCAGGGTGGCTATAATCAGCCCTGATTAGGGAAGTCATAGGCACCTATACATAAGAATGCACACTCAGTTATCTAGCATTAGGTCTCCCCTCATTGATATAAAAGGGCTGGACAAAATATTAGAAACACCTTTCAGTATAACACAATACAATTCAACAGCATCACAAACTACAGCCTCCAAAATCACCATTAAATCGATCCTCTAAAAAAATGATATCCTTCATGAAGGCAGGACTCTCTTTTGGACAGGTGTACCTAATAAACTGACAACTGAGTGTCGATCAGTTAAGACCGATCAGGTTAAGTGGCACTTTCAGTGAGAGATCCCTACTTTTTTAGTAATGGTCTTTAAAAGTGTTGCATGTGTCCCTGTGCGTTTGTTGAGTAATAAGATGTATTCGGATTCCCTCTGTGATCCGACGTCTGGAGAATTTGTGCCCGTCGAGCTGATTGTCAATGCGCTGTAACATTCCATCAACAGTCCGTTTGATCTTGTGGTGCGGTTGAGTAATATTGCACGTTTCCCTTTCATTTGAGCCCATATTGGTCCATTGCAGTCAGCTCCCTACATGCCTGTCAGAGGGCCAAATCATTTGAATGAATAAATCACACATCTGCACCCATTTCAGTGATAAATGGCGAACAGCGTTAAGTAAGTCTGAGCTCTGTGCTCCTACTTCTGACAGCATTTTGTACAGAATTTACAATTTGCAGATTTGTCTTCCTCTAAAGGCGCAGCAGAACAGAGAAACCTTAATGGAGGAGGATTATCTATGAGCACATTCAACGCCTCATTTACAGCTGAGGGATAACCAGAGAGAAGCCATATCCCAAATTTGCAAAATAGATAATAAACATACAATATATGACACAAGATAGCAGTTCTGTTGATACAATTCTGCAGATCTGTAAGTTAACGTAAGAGAAATACAATACTGTGCCAGGCAAAGACCTCTTTGAGTTTTGGCTGCTGCAACTAAAGTTTAAAGAAAAATTAAAACCAACATAGCTTAAGTAATCTTAAAACACACTTTGTTCACAAAATCAATACATTTTAAAATATCTATAATCTTAAATAAGAAGAGTTATCATCAATCATTAAAGTGTATCCTGAATGAGGTGGTGTTTACCCCCGGAGTAAAGAAGACACTTGAAACTGGTCTTCAGTGGACCAGATACCAGATCTGCACTGTAATATAACAATTATATACAAGCCTCATTAAGCCGTTCAACTACATACTTACACAATCTATTCCATTTGTACGCAGGAGACCGTAATCATGTCCTTTCTGTTCATGTACAGCATATCACTCTATACTGTTTACTTTGGCACATTAACCGCACAGTAGCAGGAGTTTCCCCAATAGCTGAATTGTACGCGGCTGATTCAGGAAGGTTCAGCAGCGCAGTACGGTGAGATGTGGTCAAATGCTAAAAAATCCCAGGAACAGTTTCAGTAGTTAAAGGGTAGTTTCTCTGTTTGCTGCATGTGATATCTGGATGGTTCTTTGTTCTGAGGGGCGACTAGAAAACAAGCAAAACTGGACTGTATGGTGAAACATTAGCTAGAAATATTTAGTCCTATATGAAACAAGTAGGAGATCTTAATCAAATGTATTGTTAGCTTACAGAAAAAACATTTTGAAGAAATCTTCAAAATATACATCTCCGCTAACTGTCTGTTTGGTCACACTGGGAAAAGAAACACATCCAGTCCAGTTTTACCTGATTTTTAGCTCAAGAACACATCTTATTATCTCATTAAAAAGACATAACTTTAAAACTATTATACTCGCCGTTGATCTCTATAGTAATTGCTGTGCTTGCAGTGGCAGTAGTCAGTTACAGAGCAGAATCAGAAACTTGGACCTGATACAGGCGGTCTGTAACCACGTTGTGTTGTTTGCGTAAGTGTACAGCATCGGGGTGCTTGTATGTGTAACCATCACCAATCTAAAAGTCTGCTGTAGGAAAAGAACTGAGCTAGTATTCAAGACTGTTAAATATGTATTAAACAGTAGAAACAGTCTGGATCCCTACAATGTAAGCTTTGTCTGTTTGTGTGCAAGGTTCCTGTTTAAGGTCTCTTTGAAATGCCTGTTGAGTTTTGTGTAATAAAACAGAGAACAGAGCCATAGCCTCTGTTCATAAATATCTATGTTGAGTGTGACTGGCATTAGTTTATAAAGAGTGGTTTGTAGCACCTAGTGCAAGCCAGCTGTTTTGAACTCTTTGCACTTCTCTTCGTCATGGGTCTCTTCCTCAGCCCTGTATATTTTTAAGGTACTCTCACATTGTCTCCCTCATCTCATTTGGGGCTGAGGATGCCTGGTTCCAGCTTGGTGCTGCTGCTGCGGCCCCAGCAGCTGGCTGTGATGCTCATGCTGCGCTGCGCTGCTCCCTGGCTGTAGCTTTGAGCGCAATCCAGCCGCTCCCGCTCCAGCCGCTCGCCGTCTGACTGGCTCTGTGTGCGTTCCGGTCTGTTGTGGATGCTGCCTGTCGGGGAGCTGGGGGTCGGTTGGGAGGAGATGGTGCGCAGCAGGTGGTTCCTCTTCCTTAGGAAGTCACTGTTGGCGCCCAAGCCAAAGCTGCCTTTACGCAGGACCATGCGTGCACTGCTGGACTTAGCTGGCCGAGAGCGGTGGCTGTACTCCAGCTGGGACAAATGAGCCGCATATCCCTCTGTGATGACCTGTTGAGAGGAGACATGCTGTCAAATATAACGAATCTGAGAAGATTTACTTTCTGCTTAATTGATATGTATTTATTCAGTTTAATAAGTTATTAATTGGTTGTAAGAGTGGCAGTATTAGACCGTACCAGGGTCCAATGTTAAATCATTTTCATTGAGGTTTGGGTATTTACTTGAGCATCCTTGAAATAAGTAAATTGAATATTTATTTGAAAAGCAAGATCAATTCCCCAAGTTATGCACAACATAATCAAATGGTACCTGGCACTGGTGCTGCATCTTCTTGGAGGGTCTACCGACAATGTATATTTGGGAGGGAGGGAGGCCAATGGAGTTGTAGACTGAGATGTCTTTGGTTGATCCGTAGCCGGCGAAAATCTTCAAATGAAGCTGGAATCAAAGAAATGAACAAGAGCATTATTTCTTGGCGACTGAGTTAATATTTCTCTCATAGTAATACCATGTCAGCATTGTTGTTTTCACCTCTAAAAGTATTAATTCCTCATTCATTCCACAAAAATCAACACTACACATGCACAAACTAAGGTACTACTGCACATAGACCCCCCCTTCCTCCCAGTCTAACCTCTGTCAGGGACTTGAGGAAGTTGGCCTTGTGTCTGAGTGGGTCATGGACCAAGCCGTCGCAGAAGGAGACAATGCCATGAGGGAAGTTGTGCTGAGATAACCAAGCCACTACCCGCTGCTTCTGCATGTCTGGTCGTCCTGTCGCATAGATGATCAAATAGCCTAAATCCTGCCAGTGCCTGCAATGAGGAGGAACAGGAGGATAGAATTAAGACGTAAACAGCAAAGAGACTCTTGTGAAAACCCAAGAAAACTGGGGTGGAAGAAAAGCAGCTCGGTACCTGACGACATCCACGGCTCCTGCCCGCACTTTGGGATCACTGCCCATGATTGACACACTGGCAGCAAATGACCCGTCAATGCTGAATACCACAAACTCGGTGCCGCGTGGAATAACCGTCAGGTAGCTGTCAGCAAATGTGTGGTCGCCTCTGAGAAGTGAAGGAACAGCAGAGAGTGAGAAAAAGTGACATTTCCTTTGAGCACACTGAAACACAACAACAAACTTAGCTAAAACCAAAATATAAACCAGGCTGTTTGATAAAATGCACACAAAGCCTGGATAATTCAGTAAAGTGTGACATGCCATCAGCGGTTGGGAAAGGCCCTTTTCAGGTAAAAAATAATACAATTAAAGATGTCTGAAACCTGTAATGGTACATTTTTACTTCGTATATGTTTCTACTCAGTATATCATATTGATGCATAAGTAATTTTGCTCTGAACTTTGTTGAACTTCACCCGTGTCTCTGTTGTGCAGAAGAAGAATTCACTCTTGCCTGCTCCTAAGATAACTAACTGTGTTGTATGAGAATGTTCCAGCGCCAAGGCCGACCTGCCGCTTGTTTTGGTTGCTGGCCGTTTGTTTTTCATTGTTGTTTCTATCAGTCTGAGACCAAAATGTCTGTAACATCGGCCCCCACCTTTACTCATTCTGTATAAAGAAAGCACGTTCACTTTTTTCTTGGTTCTTCCTCACTGAGACTGAACGTATTTAGTTGTGATGATTGAGCCTTCTCTGTGCAGAGAATAAATACAAACCTTTTTTTTATTAACAACAGTTCAACACACACACACACACACACACACACACACACACACACACACACACTGTGTGTATGTATGTATATATATATATATATATATATATATAAATATATAAACACACACTCATTATCGCCAAATTGTTGGAAAAATCATTAGCACCATCATAATATCATCCACTCCATTTAGCTTCTTTGGTTTTAGGGTCCTGCTTCTGTGCATGCTGGCTCACTGTTAACCTCATGATTAACTGTGATGTTTAAGCAGAACAGTGACCTCGTTATTTTTATTAGCACCTGTGCTTTTCCTACTATGACAAGTCAAAATGTCTGGTGTGAAAAGGTCAACGTAATCTCACCTGACAACCATTTTGATAGGGTAGACCCCGATGCCCAGACGTTTGTCCTCTGGGATGACAAAAGACACACGGCCACTACTGTTGGTCACTTCTGTGTTGAAGAACATCCATTCTCCTGATGGAGGCTTGGTCATGATGTGGAGGTCAACCTGTACAGGATTTAAAAAAAAAAAACAGGATTTAAAAAAAAAAAAAAAACATGAGCACAAACTACACAGACATTATTGAAATGACTGAAATGATTCTGTGTGCGCTGTTGTGTTGACAAAGGAGAGATCACCTTCTCCCCGGCCAAGGTGACCATGTCCAGAGGGCCGTACATGAAGCGGCCTGTCACGACCTGCTGGGAGTCTTCTGTGAACACTGCGTCATTCAAACGGTGATTAGCAGTCACGTTCTGTCAAAGGAGTGAAAGAAAGGTACATGCTGAAATGGAATTTTCTCCACGACACTGAACAAAAAAGTTGAGGATTACTCTCATAACACATTTCTTCATTATTTGATGAGATTTGACGGATGAGAGAAAGGTCAGATAAAAGGAAGAAATCAGGATTGTGTGAGGCACTACAGTCCCCTGACACTGCCTTTTGTATATCTGATGCTCACCCTGATCTTCACATGAGTCCTCTTGCGGAGCCACTTCTCTCGAGGTTTTGAGGGGGTGAATTCAGTCACTTCTTTTCCATCGAGCTCCAGGATGCTCGAGTTTTCATGCCTCATGACCTACAGGACACATTTCAATGAGTCATCCTCAGCATCTCATAAGAGGACCTGCTGGTCACTTATTAACAGGCCATGAATAGTGGCAGGTGTTCTGATGTTGACTCACCTGTCTCAGGAGAAAAGACACCACATCAGTGGACTCCCAGTATGATGCGTGGAAGAGGTGCGGTAAAGCCACCGTGGGGAAAGCGGTCAGAGCGTCGGGGCAGTACAGAGCAAAGTCCAGCCGCTTTGTGCCCCACCAACGAGCCGCAACTGCGATGGGAATGGAGTGAATAGGGTGCAGACACGTAAGGTGAAACTGTAAGATTCAGCGGGAGGTATGCGATGCCACGCAAAGGTGCAAACACCCCTGAAGCTCGAGAAAAAAGATGATTTCAATTATGAACCACAATCATCAAAGATCCCAGCAGTTTTCCAGCTAAAAAGAAGAACATCTGTAGTTTATAATCAACAGGAAAATCAAGAGCAGAAGGAAAAGAAAGATAGTTAGAACTGAAACATGATTATATGAGCAACTGAAGATTGTTATTCATGTTAGTATGGACGTGATTAAAGATGATGGATTTGGAAAAGTGTGGATTTATATCTCGGAAATAGAAATGACTCCCTTAAATCCTTATGAGTTACATTTTGAAAGAATACAAGGGAAGAAAAAAAGCGTTGACTTGTTGGCTTGTGACACAGTATAGAACAGTGAACAGAAAAGAACTGCAGCCTCACATTGCTTTTAGATGTCTGTCCCCCCCCCCCCCTTAGAAAAATACCTTGGTCCACTTCAGTCTGGGAGTCCAGTGAGACCAGATCAGATATAGCACAGTCCAGCCCTGCTGACAGGCAGTTGTCGTACTGGCTAGTGGGACTTAGACTGTCACTAGCCTCACTGTCCAGCTCTGCCACTACATCTGCATCAGGAGATCCTTCGGCCGGGTCAGCCTCTGCTTTCTTACGGGACTTAGGAGGACTTTTCAGGAAGAATTTGTTTTGTGATGAAAGGGCGAGTTGGGACAAAAGGCTGAACTTTTTGGACTGGTTATTTTGGCATGATTTGACTATGGGGAGAAAACAAAGACAAAGAAATCGAATGAAAAATGGATTCATGTTGGTAAAGTGACAGTTTAAACAGTTTGAAGAGCGTCTGGTTTCAGTAGGCTGCCTTAAAAAGAACTGTGGATGTCAAAGGTAAAAAATGATTGTTAGTACAGTAACAGTAAAGGCAGTAGGGCACGGATGCTGTTGAAAGTCTTCTGATGCTCTGGTAACACATGAACAAAAATTGGTTGTAATTAGTTTATGTTCATCTGCAGAGTTTAGCTGTAGGTGCGAAAACAGCAGAGTGCAGAACAGTAATGTGAGGTACAAATAAATGCTCTGGTAACAATGTGAAATAGTGAGGAACGGGAGGACATTGGTGGACAATCTCACATAAAACACAACAGAATACTGGTCATCTCCGCAAAGACTTGATTTGGGAGTGGACAATACAGGGATGGCTGAGGGACCCAGGTGTCCACATTAGATAAATGCAGCACTTCATTGCATTAACATTTAGACAGTGGATAAGTAGGACAGACAGTGAAAAGTGGCGCTAAACTTGCTCTTCTTCAGGACTTTGCTCGCTCGTCGTGGGACTTTGAAATTTAACAATGTGGGGAAAACTCTGCTAAGCAGCAGTAGAAAAAAGATGTCTCTGGCTGACTAGACCGCTCCAGCTGGAGTGCAGGGTGTGTGTAGAGTCAGAGTAATGGGGTTGAGAGAGAGAGAGAGAGAGAGAGAGAGAGGGAGAGAGAGAGAAGATGAGGGAGGAAAGTCGGAAAAAGAAACGAGACAGAACTAGAGAGAAGATTTAGACTGAAAGAAGAGAGAAAGAGGGGGAATAACTAGACCTGTTCAGTTTGTGTGAGTGGAAGGAAGAGAGAGAGAGACAGGCTTGTTGGCATTGAGAACACTTACTGTTGGCTATGTTGGTGGTAGTGTAACTGTCTGCCATTCCTGAGACCTGGCTGGCAATGCTGACCTCACTGGCCCTCCGCTGGGCCCGGGAAAGGGGGCCCGTTATGGGGGATGAGGGGTACGAACTGTCCATGAAGACACCACCATGAGACTGAACAAATTCCGCTATTGAGTCGAAACAAGGAGATCCCATTAGACAGAGACACAGGTAAGGGGAACTCACAGTGATGGGGGGGGGACGTGTTTTAGGACGGCAGCAGAGAAATGTGACGGCAGGCACCATTGTTTCAGAGGACATGTGAAACCAAAATGTCAGATATGTGGAACCGGCCACAGTAAACACGGAAGCATGAGTACATACAACACTTAAAATGTGTTACAGTTACACCCATGTGTTGGTATCTCTTATGAAGGTGCTTTTTATCGAATAGCCAAGTACCATCATGTTTAAGTCTTTGTCTTTGTAGACAAAAGGAAATAGGTCTGGAGATGTGTATCAGATGACCTCTGACCATTATCACAACAAGAAGCACAGGAACCGTATGTTCATGATTTGTAGGTAGAGCTCCACGTACAGTACACGATACAAACACAACATCACAATTTTCACATCAAAATGTCTCTGAAATTTGGATGATAGTATCAACACATGTACCTTCTGCCGACGTCAATAATAACATTTTATAGAAGTGATGCAGACACACTGAAACCCGTCTTAAAAACCACAGCAAAAAACATTGAACGTGACATGTGACGGCAACAATTAAATGTAACACCACATGAGATGCTTATTAGATTTTCCAAAGTATTTCCATGACAAGTTGTAAATATTTTGTACTATTTCTATGTCTAACTAGAAAATTCTTAAGAGGCCAAGAATTTAACCAGTACTGATTATCTTACACAAAGTAATTTAGATACAACACTACATGTTGCAAGGAAAGGTATAGCAGTATATATAATGGTCTATCAGGGTATTTGATTTATCAGAAACATGACGGCAGCTCTTGACTCTTGAAACAACAGAGATGGAAATACTCAGAAAATACACACGATAGGTATAAATCTGAGCATCTTGGACGTGACAGCAAGAAGGGTTGTAACAAATAGACAAAAGAGACAAAGTGAATGGGGGTGAGGACAGATACGGGTGAATGGGAGAGGCTACACACACTCCATAGTGGCGGGTGTGGCTTTGAGGGAGCCCTCCTGCCAGTTTAGCACAGGCACAGGGATGCAGGTCTCGCTGATGGTCTCCTGATAGCGAAGGGACAGAGGAGGCCCGCTGTCAAGTAGCAGCTGAGCGTTGCTCTGGACTGTCTCCACTACAGAGGGAGTTGGAGGGGTAGAAGGGACAGAGGTCGGGGAGGGTTTTGGAGGTAGAGAGCCACGTACGCAGATATGGGGACAGGAGGCAGAGAGAGGAAGAGGGAAAGAAGACAAGGAAGACACAGAAAAAATATGAAACAAGAAGAACTGAATGTGAGACAAGAAAGCAGAGTCAAGCTCTTAGTTGAGCCCATTTCTTTTAAATCGCAACTGCTAGTCAGTCATATAGTGTGATACAACACTGCTGTAAGATTGTAAATGCCCTGGAATCTGCTGGTCATAAAACCACTTGAACATACTGAACTCAAAAATGATATTGAATTTGTCTTTAAAACATAATCTGTTCTGAAAAGGCAGACCTGAGGATATTAGGATTAATTAGATATTAACCCTCATGTGGCTCTTTTATAAGCCCTGGTTCTGTGGTGGAAGGTATGCATTTTAACCTTAAAAGAAAATCCTCTGCTCAGTAGTTACCATAAGACAGATATTTGTTCAAAAAGGGTAGGGGGAGGCTGTAAGGGTTACTCCACAATAATGAGTGTCCAAACAGAAACCACCAGCAGGACTATGACCACATTTAAATGAATAAACTGCTTCGCAAAAGATGTTGAAGCACAAACAGTAGAAACATGTTTAATTTTCCTTTGAGTCAATGTTTACTCTGTGTGTGTGAAGGAACTCGTAGTGTGCTGTGAAGGTATCTTTAAGGCACATGCTGTCTATGACAAGCATCCCTGGGAAACGGGACAGTGTCTCACGTGTCAGCTGATCTTAAATCAAAAGGAGAAATTAAACAGCCATTTTATAAAAAGGGAATTTTTGCATTTGCTTCTCTGTGTGTGAAGCCTGAACTGCATTAATTAACTGTAAATGCATGACTGGATATTTACTGAATTGATATCACTGAGGCTTTTATTCATCATCGGTGCAGAAGGCTCACCCAGCAGGGCGGAGTTTCCATCTCCCAGTGGGAAGCGTTGGTAGCGGGGAACGTTGAAGGGAGGCAGGAGGTGAAACTTCCTCTCCAGTAGAGGCTCCAGGCGGGAGGCTGAGGGATCAGCTGGGTGGAACAGGTTATAGACCTGTTGACAGGCAGGCCTCAGCTGGGCCACTAGGGGGAGAAATCAAACCAAAGATATAAGAGAGGAGAGGGGAGGAATCTCTGGACCCCTTCCCACAGACTTCCTTCAGATATGTTACTAGCTTTTAAATATTGGTAATGACAACTAGACATACAATTAACACTTTGTAGGTATGCCCTCTACAGGTCACTATGCCAATTCTTGCATCCCCACCTTGTATACTGTGTCATAAACAATGTTTGCTATCACTGATTAAATCAGATTAAATCTGTCCAAATCAGCTTACCATCCAGCACAGGAATGACAGTCTTTCTCAGGGCGAGTACCAAGCCCAGTGGAGAGCCAAACATGAAAAAGTCAGACACTTCGAAGTCAAACTTCCATCCTCCATCCAGCATAGTGCTGCTGCTGGACCTGCGTGACACTGTGTCGTTCCGCAAAACACTGGAATGTATGCTGGAAGGACAGCAAAAAGTAATGTCCATAACACAAGAAATGAGAGGTTATTTCCCAGATAAGGATTTGTGTCATCTCACGCTCAACACACCTGGTCAGAAAGGCCTGGTGTTGTTTTATTGTGTCCATTTCGTAGGTGGAGGAGTCACTTCTCTTGCGTGGCAGTTGTCGCTTGGTGTCGTCACCTGTGCTCGCACGAGGGATGTCGATGTTACTGCGACTGAGGTGGCGGCTGCCCTCCAGGGTCGGAGAGGCAGACCCCTGCCCGCTGTTGACAATAATGCCAGGAGATAGGAGATCCTGGTCCTGCAGGGGTGATTCAGGAAGATTTGTTATGAAATCATAAAACACAATCCATACATCTTATATGATGGATAAAAAGTTTTGCATTGTACAAATTATAGTTGTAGGGCATATTTTCAGAAGGAACGTCGTATTGAATTTCTGATACAATCATATTTATGTTTGATGCATTAGTCACAACAATGTCAAGTCTAACAAGTAGTAAACCATATGTGGGTTAAAAGATATTTTTGTCTCTTACCTGTCCACTGACAACACTGCCCCTGCGACTGCTGTTCTGGCTTTCATTAACCGTCTGATTGCTACTGCACAGTGCATCAAACCCCAAGATTCCTCCAACACAGTCCCCAATGAGGCACACCTATAGAGGTCAATGGTCAGACACAAAGTTAATAAATGTATATTTGTGACGTACATCCATAAGGTTTAGGTTTGCCTAAAATATCTATACACCTGCTCCAACACAGTTCAATAACACAAACAAAGTGAAAATGCTCATAAAAAGGCTGTTTCCCAGGAAGTAAAAATAATAGGATGTTAAGACATTTGTGGTTTTTGGGTGCATACCATGATGCGGTTTTAATATTTAGATATAAAAGGTTTATAAGAGTTTTATAAAAGTCTTCATGCAAAAGGCTCAGCTGTGATACCAGGATATTATGTACATATATCTTTGAGAACAATAACAAAACACAGAAATAAAACGTATATTACACTTCAGTAACTAACCCGGCCAGAGAAAGCTTCCCCGTCCAGAGACTTTATAAAGTCTGTGTACACCTGGTTGGCTCTGACGACAACGGCGGCCATGGCATCCTGATACTGTGGAGCAGAGGTTGCTAGGAGGGGGAGAGCTGCCAGGGGGATGTGGTCCTGGCTGCTAGACAGACAACCCTCATCGTAGCTGTACGGGCTCAGGCTGCCGCAAAAGAACAAAATGAAATTGTGAAGTTATTTTCAGATCGAGGCAGTCCACAGAGGAGTGTGAAGAAACAAACACAGGAGGAGGGAGTGCTTGTCAAGAGCTGCACCTGGATCTTTTCCATAAAAAACAAACAGCAATCACAGTCAAACAGAAAACGTCAATCAGTATCCACAATACTTGCAGCATGCGGCAAAAATGTTAGCATGCGTGTCCTCTTACTTGGACACCAGGGAGAAGGCCTCGGCACAGATGGCAGGGCAGGGTACCAAGCGGATGGCGATGCGTCCCAGCGCCGCGGGGTAGTGAACACGCATGACTGTGTCAAAAGCCGTACTAATCGTGTTGACGTCGGCCTGCTTGCTGTTCTGGTCCCCTCCGCCTGTATCCAGGATGTTCCCTCCGTGCAGAACCAGGATCAGCACATGGATCTTGGAAGGCTGCAAGCACTGCTGGGACAAGTTCTCCTGTGAACAGAAACAAAAAAACAAGGGTGACGGATGGGGATGACAGGGAAAAGAATGTTCAATAAATGATATATTTACTTCTGAAGATATCCCTTTTATCCGCATGACCAAAGACAACATGCTTACAGAGTGGGGAACATCACAGATAAACAATAATGCCTTAGCTATTGTGTAGGGAACTATTTTTGTTTTGTCAGATTTGTGAGTCACATGGACAGCACAATAACAAACAAACTTCTTTTCACAACCAGAGACGGGTAAGGAACCATGAAGGGAAACAGAACAGAGCCGACCAACACTCCACCTGGACAACTGTTCAACTAACAGCAAATGACGACAAGGCTTCCCGAGGACCAGTCACATTAAAGACAACATAATGTGCAGTTTTGTCTTTTAAGTCTGACACAAAACTTTTCAAAGAAGCACTATATGTACACTCAACGCCACAGCTGCAAGTACACAGAAGTTGAACAGAGGTTGGTGAGGTTGAGGAGTACACATGGATTTGGGTTTTGGCAACGGCGGGAAAAAAGAGCAGGGGCAGTAAGTACTGGGTTTGTTCAGGGGGATCGGGGGTCTCCGTGGAGCTACTGTAGCCCACAGTGCACTAGGGCCAAAATGTGTACTTACTGACTGGTGCCTTGTTACCGTGATGGTGGGAATGGGAGAGCTATCGGTTTGGCCGCTAACAGAGCCACGCATCTGAACACAAGAGGACAGAGAGGCTCAGGGACAAACAGCCCTTCTCTTATCCTCCAAACTGTAAAACCTGATGCAAATGATTGTGCTTATTATGATGAAACCATGTTTAACTGAAGCTTTTGGGTCCTGAAGTGCATTTTCCATGGATGGTTCTTCAGGAACATGTATTTCAGACATGATTCTGCTGGTTAGGATTGTGTTTCGTAAATACACATTCACAGTCAAACACACGTACCTCATCTAGTCTTTCCTCACTGGTTGCTCTTTCATAATCCACTGTCATTTCCTTTAACAGCTCACCTGCAAACAAACACATTCTTAACATCAACTAGTAAGGCAGAATGACTTTCCATGATGACGTGCCCGTACTCTTCGTCATACCAGGAGTTTCCTCTGTGTCTGCCGCTTCAATCTTGTCTATGAGTTCATTGGAGTTCCACTTAGCGATTTCCTTTGGGAGGACTTCCTCGTCTGAGAGATCCTCTGCAGGGGCGACACAAGATGAATCGTGATCAACTGAAGTATATGTACCACTCAGGGTTCACAAAATTGTCGTAGCACCAACAGTATAAACAATGTATCATGATTGACAGGGTCATGTGAGTAACATTTGCTTCTTCAGTTATATAACGTTGACCAACATGAAGGTACCTTGGCAAGCGTTCCCAAAAGACTGTCATATAAACCACTAATTAAATATGTACAAGTACTTGACGGTGGCCATTAAATACATTTATGTATTTTCATGTTTAAAGTATAATCTTTGTACCAGTAAGCTGGAGGACAGTGGCCAATAAGTAGTGTAGTTTTATTACCATAATGGATTTAAAAGTTAAAAAAAATAAATCTATTTATTGAACAATTACCTAGTGAGAAGAGGCTTGAACTAGTATGTCTTTTGAATTTACATACATAAATTGATGGACTGTGTTATCCATCCACTGACATGAATCTGTGCTCTAAGACAGATATCCCTTTTTATCCCATAATTTCTCTCCTGTTAAACTGCCAGTAGCTTAATTTCTGAGAAACGGGCTGCCGTCTCCTGTTCACTTTAGTTTGTGATAACAAATTTAAAGTCAAATCTAAAATTGTATGTACAAATGTCACGTAATTTAATTTACTTCCACTGCAGTTATAATACAAATAAATAACACAACTGTTGTAAAGAAATGGAAATCATTTTATATGACTTGCTTTGCAAACAGGAAGCTGCAGCCAGTCTCTCAGAAACACAAACCCCAGAGTAAGACTTCTGTCTTCATTTGATCAGCTTCTAAGAGACAGTGCGTCCTGTACGTAGTTCAACATCAAGGGACTTTTTATCTTATTACTTTTATAGTAATTGTTTTAGTTGCCTCATTTCTAAACATGTACAACAATTCAGTGTTAAACTGGATAAACAATAAGGTGTGAGGGTAAAGAGATATTTATATGATCAATAGGCTTTACCTTAATCAATAAATAACATTTTATTCCAGCGTCAAATGCAAGTTGTATAGCAGTTAGATTATAGAAATGTGTAATTGTAGCAGATATATTCGTTTTAGTCTGTTTTGAAGAGTAAGTACTGCAACACCAGACACACTGAATGTGGCATCTATGAGGAGCTCTCCTCCTACAGCTTTGCTTTATTCGTTGGCACTAAAAACAGCAAAAGGGGAACACGACAGTCAAAAATAAAACTTGCTTCCCAAGAGTTTGTAATAGAGGATTACTGCAAGAGGAACTTGACCACAGACAAACTTTAAAGGTAAAACGGCAATCTGAGCGAAGTCGGTCTCTTTCCAAATGTAATTATTGTACCTCCATCCTGTGATTCCTCCAGGCACCAAAGCACACACTCATGTTCATATACACTGCAGCTTCATTCTGATACACCAACCTCATTTATTTACCAGAATGAAATAACTGCCAACTTCATAAAGTCGCCTCTGCAGTGTTGGAAGATCTTTTCTATTTTCTTGAGGGTGACTTATTTAATAAGAATGTAGGACAGGCATATATAAGCATTATGCTTCTGCCTATCATATTGTATACTAGATGGTGTATAGGTTTATTTATTGTATTGTGTGATGGCTGAATAAAACACTACTACGACTACTAAATCAAATATAACCCGAGATGGGCACTGGAGCAGCATATCAGTAATAACTGTATTAACTGTCACTGAGACAAAGTGTTATGTACACCAATTAATGACAAAGTACTCGTGCATTTAATCCATTCATTTGATAACATGTAATGTTAGGCACGCAATAATTAGTCCATACAAACATGAATATTGCAACGCAATAAATTATCGGATGTCAACACTATTCAGTGTAATGATATCATACCAGTTCCTCACAATGACACGAGCAGACATTTATTGAACTGGAAACAGGTGGAAACAAACAAATGCAGCTAAATCAGTATCAATATAATAAATGACAATTTTATTCTCATTTCATCATCATGTTTATCACTAAATGAAACAATTTCACCCCATTTATTGCTTGGCCGCATCATGAACTGTAAAGGATCGTGTGTGTGTGTGTGTGTGTGTGTGTGTGTGTGTGTGTGTGTCAACAATGATGGGGACTGATGGACAGAGACAACTGTGAATTCTGTACTGGACGACAGGATGATACACCTGGCCCGTGTCCTCGGCCATTCTCATCCAGCAGAGAGCATGGATGTCGTACCACACCCACCTATTTCAACTGCAGCCCCAAAGCATGCTGGGTATCTGGGAAGCTTAAGAACTGATCTGTGGTTAAAGAGATGCATGCAGAGTCAGGGGAGAGGAGAACAAGCAGGTTCTTGGAAAACTGAACACAAAGGCAACAGTATTGACCCAACTATCGACTCCAATTGAAAATCGAAACTGGGGTTACCATAAGCGTCGAAGAACTCCTCGTCAGAGCTGTCATCCGAGTCTCGAGCTATGCTCTGCATCCTCCACTCTGAGAGGCTGTGACGGGATGGGCTCACTGAAAAAAAACGCACATGAACAAAAAATTCACTGTTATTTTGGGACATGTGTTTCAGCCTCTCTCTTTCCCTTTTTAACACACTCTACGACAAAGAAACATTGCACAATCTCCCCCGGCCCACACACACAGTGTTATATAAACATGCAACAGTCTCTGTGGTGCATCACAGATGGACTGATTGGTGGTCGGGGGGGGAATGAGGCCCAATGTTATACAGATAAGCTACAAGCACCCCGACTATCAAATGCCAGCCGGGGAAAATGGCAATACTAAAAGCAGGCCACGTTTGTCACATCTCTTTTTGTCTATGTCTCATATATATACATTCATAATTAGTGTGGAGGAGAGAGGGGGTGTTGCTCTAAGGGGCGGGCTGGTGAGAGGGGGGGGCACAGCTGTAGCTGTCAGCGCACAGGAGGAAACAGCAGCGGTAGAGAGGAGGGGAGGCTCAATACGAAGAGCGTCAGCCTCCTCTGGTTTGTGACGTCAGCACTGCTGCTAAAAATAGCCCAGGAGAGAACCACAAGGGGGGAGTTACAAGGGTGAGACAAGGCACGCTGGATGAGAGTCATGGCTACGGGGAGCACTGCCTCGAGGTAGGGGCGACACTGGAGATGGGTGTGTTCGGACATGTGGTTTGTGACGTCAAAGCTGCTGCTAAAAATAACCCAGGTGAGATACACAGAGTTGTAGGGGTGAGCAGAGGTGAGCAGGATAGTACAGCAAATGTGGAGGCGCAAGTGCAGTCAAGTAGAGTAAAAACATTCCAAATAATCAGGCGTCTGACAGAAAAGCAATTTGAGCTCGGAGCTCTTCAGTAGACATTGATTAATTCAGCTTGGGAGCAACTTTCAGTGTATACACCTGTGTACAACTGAACCACAACTAATGTTGTCCATTTCCTCTCATTGGATAGACTTTTCATTTGGCTTGGCATTTTAGATTTTTTGCTTCTTAGAAGTGAGCTATTACTATACTTCCTGTTGAGCTACAGAGTTTTGAGGCAATCTTGATTGCTAATAGTTCATTGTAACATCACCAGAAAACCAGTAACTTTTAACAGCCACCTTTCAAGCTTACAGGGGGGGGGGTGATACTCATACTTAGAACTTTACTACAAAGAAACAACACACACAAAAATCATACAAACAGAAAAAGCATTGAGTTACTTTGGCTATGCACAAGCTTAACGCTTGTTGAATTCTTCACATACAGTATCAGCTGCCATGTGGACAAGTCTCAAATATCACAACTGGCTGTGTTTACATATGGAACAGTTTAATGTTGGTCTACCTCAACCTTTAAGGTGGACAGGAGTCTGGTGACAGACTGAACAATTAAGGCTTAAAAAGGTGTAAAGAGTGTAATACTCGATGAGATAATATGTGAAGGAAGGAGTACGGCTCAGGACAGTGCAGTTCTCTCACCCAAACCGTCATCCACAGAGGTGACAGACGGATAGGTGAAGAAGGCATGCTCCTCACCTCCTCTCTTGGATGAGCGGGAGGATCGAGATGAAGTGGACCACTGCTTGGTGAGTACACCTCGAGGCTGGAGAGTCTCTCCGCCTGAGCTTACAACCTCCTCCTCAGCTTCAATGGAGCTGATCGCCTCTTTAACCTCCTGGTCTTTGTCCGGAGACGGAGCCTCTCCGTTAGCCTCTGTGGCCTCCTCTGCCTGACTGAACTGGGCCATCCTCGTGGCCAGGGCCAGCTGGGTTTCCAGTTCCAGCTGCCGGATGTCCTCCATGGTCAGACCGTACCACTCATCCTGCCAGCACCAGGCCTGCCGGTGGGCACGCACCATCACCTTTCTCAGTCCTAGGGAGAAACAATGGAAGATATTACACACCTACTTCAAAAAGTCATAAGGTTGCTACATTTAGATTATTCTTATAATATTATATAGAATTATTAGATAATGTTCCTGTTAAAAATATGCGTTTAGTAAAACCAACAAAACTACTACATTAGATAAAATACTGTAACATCTGTGACAGCCTACTCACCGACATCATGGATGAAGCGCTCAATCTTAGACTGCATGCCCCAGTAACGAAACTCCACCTTGCAGAGTTTATAGGCACACATGATGGGGGTCTTCCCAGGGTTATTGTTGTACTCTTCTATCCAGTCTTCCTGCAGAGGACCCCTCTGGGTCTTGGCTGACTTGAAGAGCCGTGTGTCCTCCTCTGCTTTGTACTCATGCGGGGACATGGGATCTGTCACTATGTCGATTGGGTCTGCAAAAGGTAGTTCAAATCCAGACAGCAGTGACTAATGGAGCCAGGTATTCTAAATGTATTGCATACATTATGCTAATACTCTTTAATATCATACATAACTTTAAAATTACATAAGATGGTGGGGTAGTAGAATTGTTAAGGCTTTGTGTTCAAAGGCGTGACATTTTTTTATTAACTGAATTTCAGGGTTACATACAAGAATAAGTCATTCATTAAAATGATTACAATCAATGTAACTGGGTCACTGCATGTCCTAAAACCATTCATTTCTGAGCAGCTTCATATTCAACGGGCTTGCTATCAAACATGCGGTACCACTATATTGCCACAAGTGGGCCTCGTCTTTCTTCTTATGTTTGAGACGCAAGAGGACAGATATAAAGACATCAGATTAAACCTATGACTAGCCCGTTTCCTGAAATAACTATTAACAGAAATATCATGAATTGTTGGTTCTCTAATATATTTACAGTGTGTATATTGTGCTGGCTAAATGTGTTGAACTTTGAAAGTTAAAGCAGCCTGATACACATCAGTGAATATTTTAATATTGATGTTGTCTTTATGGTTCAGAGTCAAATTGTCTCACCAATAGTCCTCTGCCTCTTCTCTACTGCAGACATGTTGAAGACATCTGCTTGGTTGCCTGAGTCGGGTTTGTAGTAGGTCTCGATGTCAATGGAGAACTTCTCAACAAAGGGACAGGTGTATCTTAAGGAGAGGCAACAAAATCAAGTAAAACAGAACAAATGCCCCAATAAAGCAACATTGCACTACGGTTTACATCTGCTTTCAATAAGAGACTTCTCACCCCAATGGCTTAAGATAAGTGCTATATTATTAAGCGTGACAATAGCCTCTCACTGCTGAGGATAGCAAATGTGTGAGCCATGCCCATCTGTTGCTTCTGAGGCGTCCGTAGCAAAGCTGTCACTGGTTGAATAGATGTGTCAACAGGCACTTGCAGTCTATCAATATCCTGACGGTATAGTCGAGGGCACCTCTCTGTTCAGCACCTTCACGTCTCTGTGTTCGTCTGGCCCCACACAGACGAACACACTGGCACCCTGAGAGTGAGGGCCCGTCTAAATCTAACAGCCAGTAAGCGACGCTGGCCACACGCCGATCTCATGGTCTGCTCGGCAATATTCTGACAACTTGCTCCGAGGTCATTTTGTTTCTCTTGGCTTTTACTGAGGCACAACAGCTAGAGCGGGATTTCAGAATGGGCATCATCAGATTTGTGGCGTTTCATATTGAATATAAGCTAGGTTTAAATGATTACCAGCTGCAGCAGTTAGACACCTATGCACAGAGCATTTATATTACTAAAAAGAACACATTTAGAGTTTTCTGCAACCCGTGGCAGGGTTTAATAAACTCCCACTCCCGCTCTGAAGGGGTGTGGAGGTGTCCTCACCTGGTGCGGGTGTAAGGGTAGGCGTTCCAGGACTCCTCTTCAACCCTCAGTGCTGCTTTGGGCAAGATGGAGCGGAACCAGCTGGGAATGTGCATGCCAATATGGTAAACCTTGTGGGTGTACTGGCCCGTCCCACCCGGTCCATCTGTGTAGGGCTTATTCTCTAGAATCTCCACCCCGCTTCCCTCACCACAGCTCTCTTCTCTGCTCTTTTTCTGTTGGAAGAATAAATACAAGAGGTTGAAGTGCGTTAGTAAGGTGTTCACGTTTGCATACAAGTAGTGTAGTGTGAAGGAAGTGCTACATCTAAAAACAAGAATATAAATGTACCCTTGATTTGAACAAAAGAAGAAAGGAAATGAAAAAACAACAAAAAATGAATGGACATAGTTGCTTCTGCATACAAGAATCTGACAAGATTACACATGCACCTAAATTAATAGCTTCCTGAAAGCTCTGCCAGCTCTGAAATGCAAATCAGGTAGCCCAGAACCAGCTCTTGGAGCCACACCTTTCCCATATTTACATTACAGGTGCACACACAGGAAGAGAGGCTGGGTGCAGCCTGCAGGTGCAGTTGAGGACACTTGCAGCTAGGTGACTCAAAGCTTCAAAAACAGGAATGTGTGGCATGGAAAGACTTGAGATTGTTATGAAATCAGTGAAAAAGGAGACGTGGACTGCAGAGCATAGTCCAAGTGCTGACGATATTAAAAACACGGGCGGGGGGGGGGGGGGGGGTCAAAGAGGACCATAAATGTCAGAGATTACTGATGTGTCATATTTCCTATTGCTCTTCCATCTTTTCACATATATGATGTAACACACACAAAGTATGAACACAGTATTTAGTGCAGCACTGAGATAGTAGGGAGACAGATTTTCGATAGTAGGGAGACAGGCGAGGCAGTGGAGTAGGGAGGAGGAAGCCATGAGGCGTCCAGTGCTCCGGACCCGATTACCTCTGACAGGTCATTCATTAGCCACCCGCTCTGCTCTCAACAGCCCCGACACAGCTCCGAAGACACAGCACAGACGCCACAACACCATCTACCAGGCCGTACACCCAGCCAGTACACCAGACATGAACCAAACGTTGAAACATAGTTCATGTAAATGTACGGCGAACTGTACGCAGACAAACACTGTCAAATTATGTCTGGATGTAAAGTCAGCATGGAATTTGAGATTCTTAATGAAAACATTGTCCTTTGTTCACTTGTGTACAAGTACAAACTGTACCGGTGGAGGAACATTAATGAAGAAATAGTTTTTAAGAGTCTCTGAAGGCATGTTGACTGTCTCCTCTACACCGTTCTACTGTGAAATCATTTTTGGCTCAGCACACAAAGACCAAGTGTCCCTGTGTTGTAACTTCAAGTCCTGCTCTAAAACCGTCTATCTCCCGCCAACCTTTCTTTAAACAGCCATCAAACCTTAACAAATGAACCTATCACCATGAAAGCCTGCCGTATGTGTTTACATCCGACAGGATGAGAGTCACATCCTGGTTTTTTTTTTCCTCTTGCCATCAAGTTAGAGAGGACTGTTTCCTGTTTGAGATGCTTCTCTGCACTTCACTCCACAGAAACAGTTGCTGAGTCAGAACATGATGGATGTGTGCGGATGAATGAGACACAGCGAGATCTTCTCCCATTTAATTTCTCACACATTCAGCATTTGCTCCGGGCATTACTGCAAATCCACGTGTGGTGATAATGAATTTACAGTTATGTCTCCGATAAGAAGGCGGCGTTGTAAGGGCAAAGGAAAGACAGTGGGAGGAGAGATCGGGGCGGGGCATTGTTGGATGAGGTGCGGATATGTCCGGGCTGTCCTCCGGCCCGACTTCATCTATGAGGATGAATCTCAGGCAGGAAGGCCTGCATGCAGCAGTTTCCCTGGTAACATACAGCGATGAAGCTCAGAATACAGCTTCTCTCTCGTTTACTTCAACCCCCTCTGTCATTTCTTCCCCTCCCTCCTTTGCAACCTCTACTTTTATCCTCCATTTCCTCTCTTCATTCACTCCCTCTCCCGAAACAAAATCTGACCACCAGCACGCTGCTGATGTCATGGTCTCCATAGTGACAGAAGGCTCACAGGCGGTGCAGAGAGGGTGAGGTCACTAAAGAAGAGGTAACTACGGGTCACTTATGCAAGAATTCCTCCTATCATTTGCACATATTAACTACTTCTTTCATGACTGTGGAAAGCTGCTTGCACATGTGTAATGTCCTCTTTGCACAATGTCCTGTGTGATAAGATCTGACAGAATGAAGTTATTGCAGTTATGTGGTTCACATACTTAAATAACTCTCTACAGTACCCTGTTCAACACAGCCAATGTGCCAGGGGCTTACATCTAGCTAATCTTCCAAAGCTTTGTAGTAAAATGTTTTCATCGTACGTAGGGAACCGAAGGGAGAGGCCATCTGAGCAAATACTGGTGGACAAAGCCGTCGTTCGTAGTATTGTTGTACCAGTGGGTGAATATTTATTGAAGACAACTTTGTCAACATGAACACTAATTCATTAGTGTTTTAAGATTAACAGTTGTGGGCGAGGCCTTGGTCAAAAGCTCAAAAGAAGACACATTCTCGGGTTTCCTAACGCGAGGCCTAAATGTTGAACTTCCCCAATGAAGCTGCACCCTGAGGGCTGCAGTGCTGTGCAGCTCCCATGTATGATCACCTACCTCACATAAATGAGTACAAACTACGTAACACTTAGATAAAGATATCTCAGGGTCGATATATTGCCTTGTGTTGGCTGTAAAGGGAGGTTCATAAACCATAAACGTACCAGATTTAGCTCCTGATTTTCACTTGACACTGCACTATGAATATTTCACACACTTCTCATAACTATTATTTCCAGATGAAAATAATAAAATAATAACATAACATAATTTCAGTGACATAACCACCGAAGAAGCAATGCACTCTTTACCTTGCAAAAGGCCTCCACCTGATAACTTCAACCTACTCTTCTTGTGATACACATTACAGAACCATGCAGCTCAAAATCCAGCACAACTGCTGAATGTTAATTGCCTCAAACGATAACAATTTTAATAGAAAAATGCACCTAAATGCCCAAATGTGTCAAAAACATGTCTAAATAATATTACCCAACTAATGCTGTTTTCCCCCCACAGTCCAAGTCATCGTGGTTGCTCTCCATGCCTCACGTGTGTAATACAGCTGGTAGTACCACAGGATTAAATAAATCCTCCTTCATGTACACATGTCATGTGAAGAGAAAATATGTTGCCACACAGGATAACCAAAGCTGTATAAATCAAGTCGTAAACCCTAAAGCTGTTACGGACCCCACGGACTCCAGCTAAGGGCCTGGTAAGACAAATCAAACTGTCTGACGAAAAACAAAGCAGTATGTCCATCTCCATCGCGTCCGTATGTGTGCATCATGTTTGCAGTGACAGCAGGACGCCGCCCCCCACCCCACCCTCCTCCTGAAGAAAGCTGGAAGCAGCCAGCTTCAGAGAGTTTAAATTGGCTAATCTATCAGCACACAAGCTCTCTTTGTTCCATGACTCCACTGACGTCAGACCGTGTGACCAATCACTTCATAATTGGGCACGCTACAATTGCACTCAGAGTTATTTTTTCTCCTCTCTTACTGCTTGTTTTTTTAAAATCCTGGTTTCTGCACCACTGGTTGTTTTCGGCTAGGTGTGTGTGTGTGTGAGTGAGAGCTTTGGGGGGGGGGTATATGGCGTTGTGACCTCACCTGGATCATATAGAGCTGGGCGATGCGGTACTCCTCCACACTCATGGGCATGGGGATGCGGTACTCCTTGATAAGCATGGTGAATATTGGAGGAGGGGGGAAAGGGGGATCGGGGAGAAGATTGACAAGGGAAGGGGGGAGGGAGGGAGAGAGAGAGGGGGGAGAGGGGACAGGAAACACTGGAGGCTGCTCCTATATGTGACTTGTCAAATCACCAGCTGACGTCCACATTGACGGTTCCTGTGGGGGGGGGGGGGGGGGGGAAAGAAAAAAAAAAAAGCATTAGGTACGTAAAGCTGTGAATACAATTAAAAGTAAATACCTACAGGCATCCAGCCAGTGGTGTTTGTTAGAGTCAAGACATGCTGTTCACCCTGATCTGAATTCTGAATCTCCAAAAAAATAACTCAATGGCTCTTCAAACAGGTCTTCATCAACACTCAAAAGCAGAAACCAGCTTCAATCAGCAACAAAGAAAGACTCCACCATGAGCAAAATATTGCAGAACGCAGAGAGATTTCAGAAGCTGCAACATTCCTCTACACATAACCGAGGACAAAGATTCCTTCTCGCTCACACGCAGATGAAGAGGAGAGCCGGAGTATCATTCAGGGAATATGCTCAATGTAGTGACTGTAGGTCTGGTCCAAACCCCGGCACCGAGGACGAGCATCAGCGCTGTGTCTCCATCCAGCGTCCCAGTTCCAAGTAAGGAATTTTCCAGGATAAACTTCTCTTCTTATACACAAGCAGCTCAGTGTGTGTGTGTGTGTGTGTGTGTGTGTGTGTGTGGTGGGGTCAGGTGGCTGGAGTCTACGGATAGCACCCGTGCCTTGCCGACGGTCCAAACAGCCACCTGGTCTCTCCCAACACTTCAGCACAGTCACATGGGGGGGCTCACTCAGCGTAAGCGGGATTACAGTTGAGTGGGGAGCCTTACATAACCTTGTAAGAACCCCCTGTGCATGATCGAGGTTTCACAAATAGCAGCCTTAGAATTACACAAAGCATTGTTTTCAAACCACTGGGCAGATAGGGGTAGGTGTGTGTGTGGCTATACATAACCAACATGTGGGTGGCGTGAGTTGCAGAAGTCTGCTTTTGACCGATAAGAGAAGAAAAACTCCGGAGCTGAGCAAAACAAGATCCTGACTGCACACACCGTCAGCTGAGGTGGAACATTCACTGAAGAGGAGGCGATAAGGAGAGGGAGATATGAGAGATCTCTTCAGTCACAATGAGAAAAGAAAGACTGGTCCCACCATCACCATTAAGCAGAAAACCATTAAAAATAAGTTAGTCTAAAGTTTTTTCAACAGAAAAGATTTCAAAGTGTAGTTAATAAATGGATAGCTCAGTCTATGTTTAGAAAGGCTGGTGAAAGCACAGTGGACAGGATGTCGGTCTCCACGTGCTGAGACTGAATTGTACCGTGTGTGTGTGTGTGTGTCTGACAGGCGACAACACCGCTGCCCTGGCCCTGCCTGCGTTTGGTTGTCCAAATGTGACTACACAGCAAAGCATAACACAAATATGCACTCTTTTCTAACATGCGGCAGCAACCGGACCTTGCTCTGGCACCCGGTTATTCGGTCTAATCACATTAATATTCCCACTGCGTCACTTATCCCGTGAACAAAGGCCAGCTTTGGTGAGGTATCGGCGTAGGCTCTGGTCCACCACCTATTGACTCCCCACCGAAGACACATTCACCAAATGAGCTCGCCGACACACTGCCAGGACAAATATGCAGCCTGTAGAACTTTCCAACCAGGAGGGGGGTGATCTGATTAAGAGAGCACATCGTCTTTTATACATCTTTCATACGATATTGTTGCTCGACAAAAACAACACATTGACAAAATTGGAGCAGAAAGCCACATTTTGCTGAAAATAACTGCACTCTTGGGAAAGACTGTGATAGAACTAGGTTAGCCTGGAGAGGCCCAGAGAAAAGCCTGCAGCTCAGCCGAGGGAGGCCTCGAGGTGTTACTGCCCGGCTTTAGAGAAGGTCACGGTGCAAACAAGCTTCACAATCTACTTGGAGCACAGTTCAACAATGTGGCAACAGTTTGAATGTGGGTTGCAACTGATGCTGCAACAAACTTCTGAGAATTGACTCTTGGCAAACGATTCTGGGTGCGACAGCTGTTTCGATTTTGGAAGTCATTCAGTGCGACACGGGAGGACAGATTAATTTGCTGTACGGTTGTCTGTCGAAGAGCGACCACTGTGTGAATCAAAGTCCAGCCGGCTGCCACCCGCATTACAAGAAGGTGGCACCAGGTATGTAAAGAGAGAGAGACAGGAAGAGCAACAGGCAGCATGACAGAGGGATGCCGTTCATTCACAACATCCCTAAATCCAGCAGGATGAATTAGCAGCCTGGGGTGGTGAGGAGGATCTGTAGTGATGCGTGTGAATTATGTGCCCAATTGCCAAGCAGGATTATGACAGTATGCCTATTTCTTAGAGCTGCAACAAACCATTATCTTCACCATGAATAAATACAAATCACAGAAATGAGTGAAAAAGGCCAATCACAGCTTCCCAGAACCCATGCTGACTTTTTCTTTACAACGACTCAGAATAATTGATCCATTGCTCAACCAATTGTTGCAGTTGTACAATTATTAGTTTAGAGAATATTTTTATATTATATATATTATATTATATTTATTCAAAAATATTGCTTTGCTTAGTTTTCAGACAAAAGTTTTGAACCCTTTTAATGTGTGAGGAATGTTGTTTGTTCTATGTTTTTAGTGCAGAGCTTTTTATGATGATTTTAATGTTTGTAAAGTGTCTTTTATTTTCTTGAAAAGCGCTCTATAAATAAAATGTATTATTATTAAGTGCCTTTTATTTTATTTTAGGATAAACAGAAATATGTAACTTGCCAGGACAAAAACATTTACATATTTCTTGTATTTACATACTCGTTAGGCAGAGAGTCCATGTTCATTTTAGCTTCAGCCTATAACACTCCTCCCCACAATCTGTCGTCCCTGTAGTGTTGAAATAAACCGTTCATCATGTTTCAGTGTTGCTTTTAGTAGCTGCGTCTTTCCTATTGTGGCTCACGGGAGCAACAGCCAAAGACGGACACACCCAAACGTGCTCCCACAAAAATGTGGTTGTTACATATCCTGTCTGTGTTTATTAGTAGTGTCAACTTAAACTAAAATGAAATAGAACTATAACAGCACACACATATGTTGCCATAGTGGCTTTGAACTAACAAGCAATATCTCCTCCTTTAATGATAAACTACAGATTAATTAGCCGATTTCTGCTCCACAAAGACAACCAACATGTTTCCTTTACAGCAGCATTGCAGCCACGGACCTAAGAATGCCCTGATCGGCCCGTCTCTCTGACTCTTCCCTTTGTGAACAGTGCAGATGTTATTCACAGCATAGGAGCTGTAATGCATGATCCACCAGCAGCCTCGAGAGTGTGGCACCATGCTTGACCCAGAAAAAAAAAAAAAAAAAAAAAAAAAAAAAAAAAAAAAAAAAAAAAAAGCACTCTCTCTCGCTCTCACACACACACAGCTTAAAAATAGCCCGGTTACAATAATCCTATCATACGTAAGTGCTTGACGTTGCTTGTTCAGAGAATATGCTCATTCCCTTCTAAAATTACCGCCTCTGCCCCCCTCTAGGCAGTGACGCAATAGCAGCACACGCCACTGCGCTCATCACAAAGCAGCCTCCAATGTTCCTGCGCCTGTTTGGACAAAACTGAAGCCAACAATAGCGCCAACGCACTTTCAGGAGGACTGTGTTTTGTACCTCTACCCACCACCGCATTTTTCGGGCCTGTTACACGTGCGGCCACCTGTGGCAGGACCGTGACACTCAGAGATGTATAATGCTGCTACTGCCTCATCTGCGACGCAGAAGGTGGAATGAACCATCAGAGGTACTAAATCCTCCAGGAGACGGTATTTAATTACATTGTCCATTTGTTCCGTTCATGACAAATAAAACAAAAAAAGCAATTCACGATCAAAACACAACTCTATTTACACATTCCCTGACCTGAAAGGAGCAGGAAAAAGAAAAATCTTATTTTGCCCGAATCAAAACATAAATAAACAATAGAAGGTGGTCTGTCACATACAGTTACTTACAACAAAAAACTTACAGTAAAATGAGAAAAAGAAGACAGAATAATTCATCATCAACGAAGGAAACAGCTTGCCTGACACTTCATATTGTCTTTTGTTTTCTTCACACAAACACAACTCGATGGGGAGGCTGGAGCTCAGTGGATAGAACGGATGGTCCTTTAACCACAAGGTTCGGGGGTTGATCCCCGGCTCCTATTGTCTGCATGTCAAAGTGTTAATATTATATTGTTTGTTAAAATTATAATGTCCTTGAGTGAGACACTGAGCCCCTAAGTTGCTCGCCGGGCGCTTTTTCTAGCAACCCACTGCTCTGGATCGGTTAAATGCATAAGTCAAATTTCAGTGTGTATATGAGGAATATAATAAAGTTTACATTTTTAAATATTTAAGAAGTTTTCAGATAACGTGATGCTTAACACCAGAGGCAGCATAAGGACAGTGCCTTGTAAACACATAGTTGTGACTCCTAAAGCTGAAATAAACAAACAGATGTGCACATCTGTGTTCCTCGAAACAGGTATAAGTGTCTGACCCAAACAGATGAAACCGCTCTACACCCCAAAGACTGGATTATATCTACCACAGAGCAGAGGCTCACACTTTACCTGAAACAAGATCCATTTTCCTCACCACCCCAGGCTGACCTGCATCCCAATAATGGAAGGTGGCATTGCTAAATCTGTCTGAAGGTGCAACATATATTTTAGGATTGAAAGCTATAAGTACAGAAGACAGGTTGACCACAGGAAAGAGAGCAACAGCTGGGCCTTGCTGTGGACACAAAGCACAATACTGGGAGGGAGGTGTCGATTCACAGGAGGCGTTTTGGTCGTGCTCCTTTAAATTTAGCCCCGTGTTAGAGAGCGCCACTTTGAGGCAGCGTAACAGAGGAGGTGGTGGATCTCAGAGGAGCTGGAGGAGGGGGTTCCCTCCTGACTGACCTCGAGGCAAGACCCCTTTGAAACACAAGTGGAAAATGTTTAGCCCCTGGACTGCCTAAAATACCGTAGATCAGTTTCGCAGAGACAACTTTAGCTATGACAACCGCTGCAAACACGGCCTCGGCCTGTGACGAGAACCCTTGATCGAGTTGATGGGCTTATCCACCAATCCAGTTAAAATGTCAAAAGGCTTTAAGACACAGCCGTTTGTTCTGGGCTGTGTACGCTCCGAGGCCGGAGCGATGGGAGTTTACCATCCACCTGCAATAACCAAAGAGCCTATGAAGCATGTTTCATACAAGCATGCTGTACAAAAGATCTCTCTGTCCAAAAGAGTATCTATTAACGGCAGAAAATGAAGCATCATTTATCGGGGGTATAACTGGGGTAAATGTGTGGCACAGATTACTGAATACATAATCAGTTTACACCTTACAAAACCTGCCCGCTTTGGGTTTAATGAAGAATGAGATATGAATTCTTACCCCCAGATGGACTCGGTTTGTCCTCAGACATAAATCTGTCTGTATTACGGTGTTAAATGTTAACTTGGAGAGCTTCAACTTTTATCCATACCACATTTGTGAATGTGTAGGGTGTTAATCATACATTTTACTCTTGATACAGATCTCTATAGCCCATAGGACAGCGACAAGAATATGTATATATAGTATACAGGTGTAGTTTGGTTGTAGGCTTTCTGCTTTGTTTGTTGTTTGACTTCAATAAGCCAACGAAGCGGTGAGCAAATATTTATCCTCTCTCCATATTCAAAAAGTGGTCAGGGTGGTTTGTATGTCATACCACACAGTGCTCAAAGAGAGGAGGAGCAAACGTGGGGAAAACATTTGGAGTGATCCCTCATTTAGACTCAATTTGAACCGAGGCAGACCTAAAAAAATAATTTTACGATCATGTAAATGCAGGGCATAAAAATCAAAGTCACGATAAATAGTGGTGCATCATCTTGTAGCCACAAACTCTACGGTAAGCTTCCATGATGTGCCCTGAGAACGAGGCCATCACTCCTCCTGTCCCTCAGGCCCACCTCCTCCACAGGCTTTAAGGAGGTAGGATGCACAACCTGTCCTTATTCTTTACTCATCACCATCCAAGGGGAAAGCTAAAAATACACCCAGTGAGCATCTCATCCATTGTGGTCCTCCTCGTCAAATAAAGCAATACATGATTACATCACAAGGTAAGGCATGAAATATAGCCGTTGCTGCTGTTTTTTTTCTTCTTTCTCAATGAACTCAAACATATGGTTGGTTGTACTCACTCCAAGGCGGGTCAGTGAACCTCACTACATCTGAAGCATTTAAGTGTAGATTAGATACAGCATGTAATTAAAACTCGACATAGATCTGGTGCCCAGCGACTGCTGAGAACTTTAAGCTGCTTTAATACGCAGAGGCATTGTTTTCTTTGGCCTCAGCGGTGCTCATCAGCCCACAGCTTCCCAAAACGGGCCCGTTACATACCAGCTCTAGCTCTAATCAATGCCACGCTTCACTCTGACATCCAAAATTAGATGACCTTATATGCAAATTACACATGGATTAATCAGTTATGTTCCAAGGTTAAACGAGGATCTCCCCTTGCTGTCGTTCTCTCCGAGCGTTCAGCCTGAATCAACTGCGCAGAGAGCAGTCTTATGTAACTCAGACAGACACAGAGGAGGGAAGCATCGCTACCCGAGAATTTTGTCCATCCCATTAACTAATGGGATTAACTAATTCATGTAGATACAAACCACAGTGCATGATATGCTTTTGTGGAATTATATTATCTCTCTCCAACATCTCCATCAGCTCCTTTATGAGTATTCGGTAGCAACAAGATGCTGATTTAAATCAAGGCCCTCTGATGTGGAACCTGTTGCCGAGTACTTGCTCACCACTGACGGCACAAAGGCTTGCAGGAAGAACAACTAATGGATTTCCAGCATCATTGCCAGCAATCTCTCACAGTAGTGCAAAGTGGCTTTGACTACATGAAAGAGTAAAGAGATGTGACTGAGACTACATATACATACATACATACATACATACATACACACATATATATCTATATATCTATCTATCTATAGATGTAGATATATAGATAGATATCTATCTAGATATCTATCTATCTATAGATGTAGATATATAGATAGATAGATATCTATCTATAGATGTAGATATATAGATAGATATCTATCTAGATATCTATCTATCTATAGATGTAGATATATAGATAGATAGATATCCATCTATAGATGTAGATATATAGATATATATCTATCTATCGATCTAGATGTATCGATGTATCCATCTATCGATATCCATCTACACACACACACACACACACACACACACACACACACACACACACACAGAGATGAAAAGCTTAAAAGAACAGATTCTGACATCATTAAAACGCTAAAGCCTTACACCAAGAGATAGATAACGTGTCAAATAAGGCATGTGATTTTACATTTTAGAAAATAGTGGCAGTTTTGTGGCCATTGGAGAAATATAGTTGAAGCATATAGTTTGCCAAGAAAACGTCATTAGCATTAGCTGGCAATGCAACTTTTTTCGGAATAACTGTGTCTAAGAAGAGAAGTGAAATGTATTCCCTCTCCTGCCCCTTCATCGTCTCCATCATTGCTTGAAAGAGGGGGGTGTTACCATGGAGACACAGGGCTCTTTCCTTATTGGTTGCCAAGATGAAGTCAGAGTGACGAGAAAAGTAGAGAGCAGACGCTGCCGGGGCCGATACTTCTTTCTCCCGTTTCTCCTGTCTCCACTTTCACTTCTGTTCTTCCACTGCTCTCTGGTTTCTTCTGGCTACAGCATCAGCCTGCTATTCTCACTGATCCCAATACATCGTCAACCTAAATATATGTCACTGTGATATACTGTATGGAGGTGAAAACCGTCTGTATACCAGAATGCAGAATTAGAAATGCAGTGGTGGGTGTGATACACAGGTCGAAATACAGCAGGCTACATGTGGACACGCTGGTTTAAAAGTACTAATACTGCACTTAAATTGAAAATAATAATGTCAAGTCCGCAACTACCACTTCGAGGGTTAAAAAAAAGCCCAAAGCAATTATAATGCAAGCTCTCTTCATATAGTTAAAATTAACCCAGTAGACCACTAATGACTCCCCTTTCAACAATCCTCGCACTGAGTGAGAGAAATATGGAGAAACACACGAGAACACAAATACTGAATCGATTGAATCCTTGGGATGAAAATCGGTCTTTGTGCCCTAATTTGTCTCGCAAACCGGATATGAAAACTTTGGTGTGAATTGAGGACCGAGGAACAGAATAAGCATCAGCCAATTAGTGTATTAGAGGAACAGGGAGAGGCAAGGAGAGGAACGTTTAAATGGTGCTT